ACACAGACAAATCTAAAACAACTGCCTGAGTTCTACTCTGCCACATCATACGTTCTCTACATCTTTACTGTACAATTTCCAGTGGAGACCTGGGGATTGATAAATGGCCTTGAGTCTAGCCTGGGCCAAAAGGTATAGACTTGTGCGCCATCTGAAATAGTTTAGGAGATGATATTTTCAATGTGTGCCGGTATACGGTTCAAATCAATGAAAATGGAGGCATCAGTATTCTCCAGCTGTACCACGACAGTCCTACAAAAAACCGATATCTTCAATCATCAAATAAGTTGGCAACATCCACCGCCCCATGCTCAACTATCACCTCCACCTTCCTCCCTTTTCCGTCTCATTCCCTGTCAGCTCCCATCAGCTCCCTCTGGCCCCCCTCTGTGATGCTCTCCAAGGAATTTTACAGCTGCTGTGGACTTCATTGACGCACAGGCAGAGGTAGATCTCATGTCCACGGCCTAACTTAAACCTGCACTGAAAGACACGCTTGCACATAAATCCCCTTGCAAGAAAGGGGACGGCCAGCCAATAACCACACACGCTCTGCTTTGTTGACGGACAGGTAATTAGATAATGCTGTGATGGGGAAACTACCTTTAGATGTCACTATAGTTGCTTTCTTTAACATTTGGAGAACTTTAATCAGAAGTTTTCTACCCTCAATCTGAAATTGAGCAAGAAGATTCAGATTCAGTTTATTTGCCATTTGCAGTAAAAAAAATTACATTGGAATACAAAGCAAAAAGCAGAAGTGATTAGTGCTTGTGTTTCACTGCAAGAAATTATAATGGACGGCAAGTTTATCATCCAGATAGAGTTAAATGTTTTATTGTAATGTGACACTTTTTTCTCCTGCAGATAATACCCTGACTTTGCAAAATGACAAGGTTTTTGTGTGAATGACAGTTTTTTTTATTCTAAACCATGTGTCAATATAGGCTTTTGATCAGAGTGCTTTGGAGTTCTTAGCCTTTTTCCACCACAACATTTTATGGATGTTGCTTCCCAAAGATATTCACAACATTATTATATATGTTATAATGACTGAAGTTACAGGTGTAATGGAATTTGGAATGGAATTCAAGGCAACACATCCTTCACCAGATAATGAATAGGATCAAGGATAAAGATTTTTTTGTGGTGGCTGGCTGGTCAGACTATATTATCCAAATGTACTTTTTCTTTTCAATATGAGATTAATTTCATAAAAAACTTATTTACTAAAAATAATCAACAAATACTGGTGCAGCATAATTTTTTTTTTTTTAAATAAAAATTTCCCGTCTTTTAGCTGTTGTGTATGGACCTTCTAGCCCTAAATCTCATGTACTTGTTTGTTTGTTTGTCCCACGGCCCATCTTCGCTAACATCATCACTATAACATGATAGTGTCAGGATGACCACTAAAGATGCAAATGCACTAAAGTAACATAAAGCAGACCGTGTTAAAACAGATCACCTGGAGCACTTTTCTGTCCTCTGGGTTCAAAGGAGCTTCACTAATTAAAGAATGTGAGCCCGAGTCATGTCCCCTTTTCTGAACTTTCTTTTCTTCACTTTATGTCGAGTTTGTTGTCCTTCTCCTGTATTTAAACATAAAGGGAGAATATAGACCAAGTGTGTAAATTGTGCCAGTGTAAATCATGAAGGCTTTATAATGTGCAACATTCCCCTTTGCAATAGTTCAAATCTGTTCTATTAAGATTCTATTAAGACAATGGGTTGCTCACCTTTGTCACAAAGTGCTGCCTTTACAAACAATATTTTTGAAGGGAAAACATAGATGATTTTTTGTGAACAAAGTTACCGCAGCCCTATTATGGTTTTTAAAGTGATGATCACCACAGCACTGCTTCATATCAACTCTTTCACTTCTGATGCTTTCCCTGGCTGATGTCATGTTTTTCATGTACATGGGGCCACCAAAAGTCTTTAACCATTATTTATTCTCTCCAAGCTAAGACTAGAAATCAAAAAGACACATTCCCTTTTGGGTCCTTCTCTGATCAGTACATGCATGAATGATTGTTGGTGAGTTAAGAAATGTTGGCAACCTTCCTATCAGCGCAGCTGCAGCATTGAGGGAGAGCAGCTCCCTTGTAAAGGGTCACAAGTCAAATTTCACTATGAACTTGATTACACATGTCTGATTCCCTTTTTCAGACTATAATATAGTCTTTTTTAATTAAAAAAACGAAAATAAATTATGACAATGTAGAGCTAACCTCTCAACCACCTTAAAATTATGAATGCACGTGTGTAATTATAGAATGATATGCCTTTATAAAATATTACCACACGCAGGTACACTGTAAAAACGAAAAAGTTAGTTCAACTCAAAGTTTCAAGGTAACTGGCGGCACGCAACTTTTGAGTTGAAGCATCAACTTAATTCTTTACGTTTTGAAGAACTACAATCATTAAGTTGTGTCAGCTAAGTGTTTCTAATTCTGCCAACAACGTTTTTGTAATTCAAGTTACTGGAACTTTCAAGTCTGTAAAAGCTTACTATTTTAAGTTCAGATTACAGTCCCCTGCAATAACTTACTATTTTGAGTTTAAATTACCCCCCACATAAAATCATCCTGTTTCATCCTCATGTGTATTTATATAGCGCTTTTACAGACCAAGGTCACTTGGGTAGGGGAAACCGGAGCACCCGGAGGACACCTATGCAGACACAGACAACATGCAAATTCCACTCAGACAGGCCCTGTTCAGACTGGGATTCAAACCCAGAATCCCAGAAGAAGAAGCAAGAGTGCTATCCACTCAGCCACCTTGCCACACACGCTGTTGTGTGGGAAAACTAATGTTTCTTAAGGAAACTCGTTCCCTCAATACAGATTACTTTTATAAATACCATAAACATCACAATATAAGTTCATTAAACACAGTAAGTAAGTAAGTATTTATTTATATACCGCCTTTTCACTGCAGATATGAGTCTCAAAGCAGTTTACAATTGTTAATTTTGGGCATTTGTCTCTCACTCCACACAGAGATGGGAGCGGGGTCGCCAGTACAGGAAGCGCATGCCAGAACTATTGGACATATTTTTAGTGGTAGGGGAAACCGGAGTACCCGGAGGAAACCTACGCAGACACGGGGAGAACATGCAAACTCCACTCAGAAAGGCCCTGGTCCGACCGGGATTCGAACCCAGGACCTTCTTGCTGAGAGGCGAGAGTGCTATCCACTCAGCCACCGTGCCTTTATTAACACTCATTACCTCAGTAGACTAACTTACACTAATCCATTTTAGTTTTATAAATGCCATGAACTTAAGAATATAAGCTCATTTGACAGTTAGTCTTATGGTCCTGAACTCTTATAACTCTCCGAATGAGAAGCAATAATGCAACTCAATTAGGCGCATTTACTCGGACATAGCTCTCTCCCTCTTCCCTTTTGAAAGTACTGAACACAGACAACATCAACTCATCTCATTGGTTTACGTTCAAGCCTGAAATTACTAAGAAGAGGGAAATGTCAAGTCTATTTTAAGAAAAACGTAAACTCATTTCCAGTCATGCAGGAGAAGTGCATAACTGCTGCATTGAGGGCAGAATGTGAAAAAGATGCTTTAACATAATGTTTCGCATGTGCGCACCTCGGCCTGTCTCTTTCCGCAGGTGTCGGACGTGATTGGCTGAAGGCTGCATTCACCAAACCCCCTCACTATCGTCCCCCTGAAGCAACAGGCTCTTCGCTGCGACTCCATGCCCTCCACAAGCTTTTACCACAAGGGGAAAATCGGCCACGTTATCACGTGATTTCATTCGGAATTAGTGGGGATACTAAGGAGCGAGGGAGAGAGGTGCAAAGCCAAAGTGTGCATTGATACAAAGAGAGAGAGGGAGAGAGAGAAAGACGCTGTCACGATCTAATCCACGGGGAATTAACCAAAATGTCTTGGCGCTGGAGAGAAGTGCAGCTGGAGCGATTTCCAGTAGTCTGTGCTTCTGAATGAAAGGACGCGCAACTGACAAATTATTGATGCATCGATCCCGTTCACAGCTTGAAGACTGCACTGCGTTGTTGACGCTCGGAGACGCATCGGGAAACGTGCAGAAATGGCCCGGTTATGGATATTTTTCCATCTTTTTCTAAGCTTTTGTGCACTCGGACTAGTAAGTCACTTATCCTTTGGCCCCTGCCAGGCTCCTGCACGCACATGCACAAAGTTCACAAAGTTGTCATCACTTGCCCCGACTGCAGCGTCTAAGGATCACTTTCCTATAAATTGTCGGCAACACACAACTTAATCCCGTGTACATTTCCTCTGCTTACAGAACTCACGTTTGAGTAAAGGTGATGACAGCGTGGGGAGAGACTCATCGACGCTCCTGCAGTCTTTCAATTTGCCTCAACACACAGGTACGTGTGTCAGCAGATACATGAAGTTTTAAAATGATAGTCAACGCGCCAGTGTTAAAGACGAGGCTCTTAATTCTGACCCTGCTGACTGTAGCATCTATCTCTGCTTGTACTCCCTATCTTCACCGCTAGGAGGCAACCTGCACCCTGAAACAGTACAGGCAATGCACGTTCATCTTATAGTTTTACGTATAGCGTATATGTCCCATACGGTTTTTTTTTTCAATTAAGAACAAAGTATCAAAAACATTAATTGCATAGAATACAATTTCCATGTAGCCATCTTGATTCAACCACTATAATGTCTTGCACACTGCTGATTCAGCATCTGTCTTGGCTGAATTCCCAACAGACCCCTTTTTGAGTAACAATGGAAAACAGATAGATAAACAAATAAACTAAACGAAAAGCAGATTTCTGTGTGCACATGAAAATGAAGAGAAACACAAGGATTCCCCCAGATGTTTCCCATCAGATCACTATAAGAGTTCAATCATTGCTGCACTGTGTCAATGTCTTCATATGGCTTTAGTAAAGTGGGCGAAGAGGGAGTTCACGAGGAATCTGTTTGGTTGAAGTCAGGCCACTTGTCTGGTTAGACACCAGGACTAATGGTATTCGGGAGCCACTATACCAACAAACTCACCACTGCAGGGTCTTGTCTCCATCCAGCAGACAAGATAAGTGTGTGCCCTGTGTTAGTGTGCTGCCGGACAGGGGTCACTGCATCTGGGTTTTAACTTAGAATTGAACAAACACGCTGGATGGATGGGAATACTTCTGTCTTAAAGCAACAGCGCAAAAACTTTATGGAGGTGGAAAGTAACCTAATAAAAAAAAGTTCAAACCAATCTTCAGGACATTATTCATGGGGATAATTTAAATGTAATGCCATACTCGGGTTATTATTTCCAAAGGAACCATTTCTAAAGATTCTACTATAAAAAAACTTTTGTATCAAAAGTTGTAATTGTCATTCCTCTGCTTTATTTATTTGTGAGTTTAATGACTTTGGAGTGGAAATGAGTGCAGCTGTAAGTGCATGCAATATACAATTATTGAGCAACATATTTAAACACATGCTGTCATGAGCACTTAAGTAACAGGTCCATTGATAGAATATGACATGACGAAGGTGCTAAACGTGGATTTAGTCAGTGCCAAACTCGAGACATCCAAAGTGATGACACACTGTCTGTCACTCTGCGTCTCTGAAGTCACCAATACATGTCCCCGTGCTATATTTAACTATATCATTAGTTTGAAAGTGTTATTGACAGTAACTGAGTGCTGGTATCATTGTCCTTGTACGTATCTATTAACATAAACATTACAATTAGCAATTTGGCTGAAAAAAAAATTGACAAAATATCCGTCTCATACACAATTGGTGTTAAATGCAACTTTGCAATTATCTCTGGGAATAAAACTATTTGGGTGTTGCCTCAAAACCTCAGCTACTCTTTGGTTTGACCTTTTAGGACAGAACTGTTATTTTCTATGGTCCAAAAACCATTCTATACGGCCACAGAGACCAGCCCTGTGACCTGCTATGGCTCCCTTTATGGCCAGCAGTCTTTCAGGCCAAGTTGTAGTAAAGACTAAACGTTTCTGGCAAACATGATTGACTTTCAACTGAAGGGGATGTGTTTGAATGGTCTATAACCTCTCATTTTCTTGTAACTCTTCCTTGACCCATTGAGCACAAAGTATGACTTGGGTCAGGGATAATTTATGGAGCTGGTGGCGGTTATATTGAAAGGCCAAGTCAAGTCCAACAGAAAGAGTATTGTCATGCATACCGTTCAATATTTTAACACATTAAGCACATGTTTGTGTGTTGTATATATTTATTATTATAGTTAAAATACTTGTATAATATTACAATCCATGGATTGGATTTTCAGATCAAAAGAATATCTGTAGACACTTATGAGTACAATACTTAGTACAATACAATGTTGCCAATAGGTTCCTCTGCCAGGGAGTAATGGAATCACCAGACACTCTGCCTGTCTGTCTGTCTATCTGTAGGTCTGTCTGACTGTCTCTGTTAGTTAGTTATCTACTTAACTTAAAAGATTATGGATGGATTTTTGTGAAACTTTCAGTAAAGCTCCAAACTCTGACATGGCACAAATGTTTGCATTTTTTTCAGTTGATCTCAAGCACTCTTGATAGATCTCTACGAGTGTTTTTCTAGTTAAAGCTACCATTGACAGTTTTTTTCTCCTTGTCTCTATGTCCAGAATATGAGATTGTTTCACCGTATGAGGTGACCCATGAAGGCACATACATCTCCCATGAAGTATCCCACCATCAGAGGAGAAGGCGAAGCCCGTCCTTGAGCCCAGACACAGACTCATCCTGGGCCAATAGCAGCCACAAGGTTCACTTCCGGCTCAGCGGCCTGGGACAGGATTTCCACATGGAGCTGATGGAGGCCTCACACGACCTGATCGCACCTGGCTTCACCGTACAAGTCCTGGGAAAGAATGGCACTAAAAGCCTGAGGGCCTACCACCAGGGCGACCTGTGCTTTTACCAGGGGTCACTGAGGGCAAGGGCCAACTCCTCGGTGGCTCTCTCCACATGCATGGGGATGGTGAGTCCACACCCTCTCAGTTTGCTTTGTGCTTTTGTTGTAATATTGCAAAAGATAAAGCTTTGAATGCAGGACACTTGGGGGGGCAGGCATAGTAGAAAATGCATCTGTAAACATTTTATTATTTTTTGTCAAGGCACAGACAAAAATGTGAATTTAAATGTACTCAATCATTTTACAGACTCCCTTTTGAGAGTAGAATATTTGCAGGTTTGCTTTCAAGTTTTACTGTGTAGGGGATAATAACATTTGACTACCACCATACTTGAACATTTTCTCTGGGAATTTGACCTATATTAGAACCCTATAAAAGAGACTGTTATACTGTAAATGAACACTGTACAGTGTGGCCCTTACAATTGGTGCAATCTTCCCTTTGTTATACAGCACCTTTATAACTCACATTCACTCCACACTCATCAAGCAGCCTTTGAGAAGTACATAGCAAAAGAGTCTGGTCAAGCATCGCACTCTCAATACATGCAACGCAAGCTGACATGTAGGACATGGCTGGTGAAGTTCTTTTCTTCCACAATCCTCTGTCATTAGCTGAAACCGTAACTTGAAACTGAATGGACGAATATCATGTGCCATAAACTATATCCTTAGAATCAAATCAAATCAAGTTGTTTTTGTACAAACACTCAGCAGAGCTCTTGAAGTGCCCTAACCCACAGAATTGTTGATTTGCCAAAAGCAGAAAGATGGATCTCTCTCATTCTGTGGATACAGTATGAAATAAATCTGTTGTATTGAAAAAAAAAAAAAAAGTATTATTATTTAAAGTATTAAAATTCAGCTTATTGTAAACCGCTTTGAGTGATCTTGGTCCATGAAATGCACTATAAATAAAGATTACTTACTTACTAACTTACTCACTAATTTCCAAGCCTTATTAAAACTGAGATTGTTTTATTCCACACCTATTGGCCCTATAGTTTTGTGTAAGCTCTCAGTCATACAGGGATATTTCAAAACAAAGGGAGGTTGTTCACCCATCATCTGTACTTCAGTTAGTACTTCCTGCTAACTGAAGTACAGATGATGGGTGAGCAACCTTCCTTTGTTATTGGCCCTATACCTGCAGAGACCCCACAAACACAAGTCGTTATTATATTTATATTTATTATAAGTGTTTCGTACAGATGAACTGCAGTATTGGAGCATGTCTCCTTTTCTTTAAGTCACAGAACAGCTTCCCTCCCGGGAGATGCCTCTTTTTTGTGTTGGCATTTTATCCCAGCTCCCAATGAAAAAATAATAAGCTAAAGGGTCTTGGGTTGCAGTGTCTATAAACGTCGTTCTCACGATTAAAAGGAGATTCAGTGGGAATCAGACTCATGTGTTTATGAAACTACCTGCTACAAGTCAGTCTCATTATTTAAATCCATTAATCCAGTGATTATTATCTTTCGCAGTTTGAAACAGTGATTTGTTTCATTAATCATGTCTTTAAATCAAACTAGAAATGACTGAATTAGTCATCTAGTTCTTGGCCAGTATAAATATGTATTGTGTATAACGGTGAAAAATATATACAATAATATTAGTTTACTCTAGTCATTTTCAGGTACTTTCTCTGACAATTACTTTGATAATCATTCAGTTGCAGTCTTTCCATTACATTATTACAGCCCTATACAAATAATAGCTAAAGACATGTTCTAGTCTACTGTATGTATGTGCATGTGTCTTCAATACAACAGATGCTTATGTCCAGAATATTTTAAGATAGAAAGATTTAACATGATTGAATAGGTATATTTATTCTTAATTGTTTTGTCTAATGAAATACAGGTTTATGAATAGAATTTTTAAAATCCCTCTTGACCTTGCACTTTTGACTTTTCCCATATGGCAAGTAAATGGTAAATATTGACCTCCAAATCAATAGTTTTCTTGTGAAACCACCTTTCTCCAGAGGTTAAAATGTGCCTTTCTATCAGTGACACCTGGAGTTTTTATCATTACTAATTTTTGCCTAGTTATGACCCTGGACTACGGTTAGAAACTCACTCACGACATATCCAGTGCCACGAGAAAGACTTCCCATTTATATGTCAAAAAAGTGGATAATATCCTATAAAGATCTTAAAGACCCTTGTAGTTAGACTATATAAACAATATTTAGTTGTGTTGAGTGTTCTTATGTAAACTTGTAAAAACGCAGCCTTCTATACATGTTCTCACCTTTGTATCTATGTGTAATCTGACTTCTAACACACACCTTGCCTTTGCACCAAAGGAAAAACACTGTTGCCGTGCTACAAATCACTCTGTGTTTTTCTCTTGTAAAAAGGCGGGTGTGTGCATTGCCTCAGGACGAGTAGCGGTAGTAATAATAGAATATGGCACACTCCCCGCCTTTGGGATTTCCAACAATATAAGAGACAGCACCATTGATGTGAAACAGATTTGATGAGCAGTCAGTGTGGTCTTGGCACACAACTATAATCGTTTTACAAAAATGTGTGCATATTATTGAAATAATTCATGTTTTGTTTTAATTTTTCACTTCAAGATGTTGGTCGATTGCTAATGCGTTTTGTAAAGCTGGAGTACCTAATTTTGAAACCTCAAAATACATGAAGTAAAATCCTTGCAAATAGTTCCTAGTTCTTAAAACAGTTATACTGCATATATTGCATATATGCATATATTTTTTGCCTCTCACACATCTTTTGGTCAGCTTTTCCAGTGACAAAGGGAGTACCAGCCCTCTCTTAGCCAATCAGCTCTCAGTGTGTAAACTATAAAATATTTCGTAGGGAAAGAGCATGTTTTGAACATATTTTTTTTCCACAAAATGTTACTTAAACAAAACTCTTTCTGAAAAGATAATGTATTTATTCAAAGACAATAAAAGTTTGGTAATCGGAAACAAGGAAATTGCTTTGGCTCTCGGTGCAAACAAGTTGTTAAAATAAAAATAGTATGAGGCATGCATAAAAAGATAATACAAATACAAAATAAATAAGATAAATTACTACTATATACAAGTGCATCTTGTGTTGGATTTCTGTTCTTTGAGCGACCCCAGAAATTAAAACTATTGAATCAAATAAGAGGAAAAAAAAGAAAAATCAGTTTTACTATAAAGTAAAACTGATTTGGGCATAAATCTAAAAATAGACGTGTTTCTAGTACTGTATGTAAAACCAGTTAACAGATCTGGCTGCTGTCAGGTGCACCTTGTAATGCATTTAGAGCTTCCTCTGCAGTTCCGTTTAGTTTCCCGCATGCGCCCTCTCATTCCTGTCTTTGCTTGTCTGAATGCGTTTGACTCCAGAGCGTCCAGCTGTTTGCGCCCTCCCAAGTAGTGTTTCAGTATTTTATGACTGCTATTTGCACCTCGTCCACAGCACTGTGTAATCTGATGACTTTGGATATTTAGGAAAGGCTCCGCAGTGACCTAATCTCCACCACACTGACACCGCATATGGGAGTGATGAAGTAATGAGTGTGGTATAAGTGTATGATGAGATGTAAAACTAGAAACATAGGCATACGAGCATTTTCAAAACAACATTCAAGACAATGCAATGCTCACTATTTCGTTTTGGATCATTTGTCCTTTGCTCGGCTTCCATGGACTCTTCCATCATTCAAATTTGAAAAAAAAGTGAATTCAATCATGGTGTTCCTTTATGTGGTCTTGTTCACTTTAACTGGACCATGCCGGGTTGACTTGGGGACCAACATACTGATCCTAGAAAATTAGTTTTGGTGAAACCAAGGAAACTGAGGGCACAGCCACATGGGTTTTCACAAACAAACTTGGCCTTGTTGCCCGGTTCGTCGCCACAGGGGAGTAAAGACAGCCTGCGGTTAGAAGGGTTTATTTTTTTCAACCATGCCAGACCAAATGCACTGTAGTGCAATGCTCGGTCTTGTTGGCGCTAATGCTATCTTCAGTGACTACCTCGGGATGCAAGTTAAGTTTCCGTTTCTCCTCCTGTTTACACTGTGGCCACTGTGGCCAACCCATGGATCTATAATAATATCTGGATAGGGTATTACTAGCTTATAGCTGTCCCACCAATGGGCACAGGGGGCGCCTGTGGTACTGCAGACTAAATTAATGCAGGCTACCCAGAAAAATGTCCCATAGAACTCAATGTAAACTAAAACAGCTGGACCTCAGCTGACAGAGAACATACAGCTTTCATAAGGGTAAGATTTTGTGTGGATTTTAGTGTCCCTTGTCGTCCTGAACTTTTTTTCTTGTTGAATCTTTTGGTTATCTATAAATCTACATTTTGATGCAACAATCTCAGCTCGTTTGGCTCTTGCTCTCGCTCCGTTCTGATCACCAGCCGGTGATTGGTCAGAGATAAAGAGAGCCACACACCCATATTTGGCATAAAGCATCATGGGAGCTTGTCCACTCCACCAGTGTCGTTGGTGTGCTTTGGCCACAAAATAAAGTCTGATTCTTCAGTAACAGTTTGAAGTGTTATTGGAAAAGCACCTCACTGTGACACCAAGGGTCAAAACAGAAGGGAGTGATCCTCCGTTTACCACGGCCCAGGGGCTTAGGAGAGTAACCCAAGCAAGGGAGAGTATGCGACTGCTAGGTAGAGATCTGTGTGAAGCTGCACGTTACAGCGGGCGCAGCAGGAAGACGTAATGTGATGCACAATATCATGTCCCCACCACACCTCATCCCCCCCAGTCCCCACCACATCGACCCCCCTCATTTGGGTTTTACAACCGTGCTCAGGCCCACCACTTTCAACCGTGCCCAAGCCCAGTTGCCACGGTCACACGGTGAGCAGGTGGAAAACTGTGTGTTACTAAAGCTGAAGTTCAACCTCAGCAGGGCCAAAAGTATGGATCTGGAGTAGTTAGGTAATAAGAAATTAAGTTGGTGAAAATATGCACCGCCCGCCCGGAGAGGGTTAAAGTGACCCAGACAAATTTTAGTGCAATGTGAAGCCTGCAAAGATTTAACCCTGGCAGTGAATGAAAAATGGTCTGGATATAGAAAGTGTGGAATGTCGCCTATGCCTGTAGTGGTGACAGGCCGACTTTGGAGGCTGGATTAATATCGTCGGATTAAAATTCGGTCACAGCTACCATGAGCGTGTTGACATCAGATGACATGAAACTGAGAGCATGGCTCACGCTTCTGTGCCATGTAAAGTCCCAATACAAAAACAAAAATAATGTCATTCTATTACTGTTTCTGAATGTGCATTTTTCTTGCATCTTAGTATGCATCGCTTCCAATGTATTTTTGAAGTTCATTATATGTTGTGCATGTGGCGGATGAAGCAGCTTTGATCAGAAATGATTATTGTTTCAAAGAACAATGGAGCTTTTTATTGACTGTGGAATTGCCTGTGTCCTGACATAAACTTGCCCAAATAGAGCTTTTATATGTCACCATGTGTTTCAGGTCAGGGGATACTCTTTGACATACAGTTAAATTATTACAATTGCCCATGGTCTGGAACCATTTGGATCACTGCAGCACGCACTGACTGTCACAAATGACTTTTACTAACAATTCCATGCTAATGTTCCCTACCATTATCATGATTGTGTTTTTTTTGCTAACTATAAAATGGATGATGACGCAATACTTTAGAGACTGGCATTTGCTTGGATTTGTCCATTTTTGTACAGAGCGAAACATCTGCAGCTACTGAACGGGGGGAATGAGTTGACGATAATAATAATAGTGGCTTCATTATATACTCACGCGCACACATTTGTGCTGACATCGCTTCACAGCTCCACTATGACTAAAGGAATTCTTTCCACATTGTTCTTGTTTATTTTTACAACGTTAAAAATATTGTAATCTTCTCAATGAGTACTAAGACTGTGGCTTGTTTCCTGTTGTATATTATAAGCTTGTGGCCATGTTGTTGTCTGTAAAGCAGCAATTACACTGCAATGAGAAATGACAACTGTGCACAAAATACTGCTTAAGTCTGGTTACTGGTAAGACATAAAAGTGTAGTGACACATAGACGAGTTGAATAAGGTCACGCTGGATGTTGCGGTAGGGCATCATTAATTAATACCTTTGATACCTTCAATATAAAATGAATTGAACAATGGCGTTTTCCTTTAATGGTTATTGCAGAATTCCTGTATCGTTTTGATTCTATTAATCTATGGTCCTATTCTATGCATTTCTTAATCTGTTGAATTGGTGGTCTAGGATTTGTGTTAGAGTTTTGTTTTGATTCTTTTAATCTATGGTCCTATTCTATGCATTTCTTAATCTGTTGAATTGGTGGTCTAGGATTTGTGTTAGAGTTGTGCCAAAAATTCACTGAATTCAAACACCAATTGCTGTACTAACATCAAACGGGCTACCTCACTTGGAGTACAAGTTTGGCGATAAATAAGGTCTTCTATTTCAGTAAAAAAAAAAAAAAAAAAGATATGGGGAAATCTGTTTTGTTTTGGGGGTTTTTTCTCGCATTTGCACAGCTCTAAATAGTTGCTTCTTCAACACTGGAGGAAAGGCCAAGTACACAATTTTGGGGTGGTGGAATAACCATCAGTTGGGCATTTCAAGCTGCGATGGATGGTTTAAAAATACCATAATTCTGTCTTATGTGCAATAACAATTATTTACCTAACTATTATTGTAATTGTAGGATGCCTTCCATCTTCTTGGAGATTAGTCTCTGGAAGATATTTATTCCAAGAAGCATACTTTCTCTTTCCATTACCCTTGTAAAGTTTCTCAATGTTTCAACGCTTACATTTACGTTTGCTTGTTGTTTTCTTCAGTCAGGTTTTATCCGCACCCAAGATGCAGACTACTTCTTGAGACCCGTGTCTTACAGCCTGGCACAATCTGAGAACTTCACTGCTGCTCCTGGTCATCAACCGCACATTCTCTACAAGAGCTTCAGAGACCCCAAGACGGACACAGGAGACAAGAAACACAATCGACAGAAGAGATCACTACATTCTGCAATCGCTGGAACCAAGAGCACTTATGATCAGCCAAACAGGAGACATCATAACCACCACTCCAGGCGCAGAGAGAGCCAAAGACAACACTTCTGTGGGAGACGGAAGAAATGTATGTAAGGGCAATTTCAAACATTACATTTATTGATTGAATTGGGTTGCATCTGTTGATTATTGTGCTCATGGAGATCACACAATATTATCTCATGAAGCCAAAATGATCCATTGAAATTGCATGTCCTGCTCTCTTGCTCGTAAAATGTGGAATGTTTAGACTTTTCTGGTCACTAAAATAATAATAATTGTTTCTTAATTAAGGTTAATTCTTTCAACAAAATTTTTCAGCCAATATAGAAACACTTTTTTGAACATACAGTATATTGTATGTCATGTTCCATTGTTTGGTTGCTCTTAAAGATTGTTTTTCTTGTTTAATCAATCCCACATCTAAATTCTTTGGCAATACATTTTATGACACAAGATGCACTGTATATGAAAAACCATATTGTTGAAGACCATCCTTTTATTTTCAGCCCCCATCTCTTCTCAATGTGTTTTGTTTCAGTTCTGTAAATGATTTATCTTCACTGTTAAATCATCTACAGCTCACATTTCACGTTTCCTTCTTACAACAATATATCATTTCCTTTATTCTGTACAGAGTACACACACGTTTGTCTGTGTCTATTGTCCTACATTGTATCAAGAGAGGCCTGTAAGGACTCAAAATAAGGAGTGGGTTTTTCCAATTTAATGAGATTGACTTTCAGCTAATCAGCATAAGCGGAAAGCTCTTGATATTAGTTTATCTATGCAATCATTGTGAAAGTTTTCTTAATTTGATTCTCACAAGGCAAACATAGCTGCTCTGAACAATATCACTTACCGCTACATTAGGATTTCATTAGTGGCTTAACATGGGAGTTCAAGGGAAATGTTGGACATGCTCACTCATTGACTTGCTCTGACTAATGTTTGCTTTAAGACGTTATCTCCAGATCAGTTAACATGGGCCTGTGCGGAAAGGCCTAATTTCAAAAGGAGTTCAGACTGTAAAGGGTCCGTGGACGTTACCCTGCAGAACCCCAGCTGTGCGTCCCCTGAGAAAACACCGCACTGTTTACATTCCCGTGGGGTGACTCCAATGAACACCTGTGCCATGTATTAGGCAGATAGAGACACTTTTGGGCGCTCACCTGCTTTCTGCCTACATAAGCAAACTTTGAAGGTTTTATGGTTCCCAGCAAGACGTAACTGGGCTGAAAAACAAAGCTTCAGACATGGATCGAAAATGTTTACAAGATTTATCGCTAAGCTGCGACCTGTTGACCTCATGTTATAGGAAAGTGAATGTCAAGCCACAACAGAAAACAGTCTGTCTTGTTTCTCCATCCCTGTTTTAACTACTTGCATTGTGTAGATCATTGACCAGAGAAAATAGAAAGATAGTTAGGGATCATGGACAGTATGATTTTTCTAAAGTGTAATGAAAAATACCACAGTAAACGGGTATATATTGTGGTGTTGACTCATTCATTCATCAGCTTACCAAAAACCTATTTTATTCTACCTAACCTGAATTGGTTAGAGAACCATTTATGATCAAAACAAATGACGTTTTTTTAAAACATGGAGCCATGAAACCCATAGACTTCAAAGTTAACTAAATTGGCTTGTCACAGCTGAGAGGAAACCTATAGCTTTCTCAAAGGTTGGAATTTGTCTGGATTTTAGTGTACCATGTCATTCTGAACCTTTTTTCTGATTGAATCCACATTGTTGTGTAACAAACTCTGCTCGCTGTTGTCCCTCTCTAGCTTCTCTCTGATTTGTTGTGTAATATTGGTCAGAACACTCATATGTCCTTCTGTGCATGAGCGACCACTGCTACAGTCAGCACTGATTGGTCAGAGCTCTCTTGTGTTACTCTGGTCCTGCGGAAGTAGAACCATTGTGCACCCAATACGCAAGACTGGGAGAACCAGAGCTAGTCAAAATGCTTCCCTTCCGCTAATGTTTGGGTCGTCCATGGTGCAAGCATGCACCAATGAGGATAGACCATTGATTTTAATGGGCAGACATCTTGGAATCCTGTGGATTGCCTCTCTTTTGTGATTTTGGGTGTTTGTCTCATGGCCAATCAGAAGCAATAGCAAAATTAAACATTACAATAAAAAGTTTTGCAGAGCTCTGTAACTTTGAAATCCAGAATAGTGGTAGCACACCACCTCTACAGTCTATGGTTAATGATTTTTTTTGGAATAGTAATATATAATGACCAAGGATTGTAAACTAGTCTAGCAGATCAAGATGTATGTATTTTCTCCTAACCCTTTGAACAAGGAGCTCCATCAGATCCTCACTGTATTGTTTGTGTTATGTTTACTATATCATGATATGTTGGTAATTGTCCCTTCTCTGTTAAAGTTGATTTTGCATACGTGAACTTAACAGTTTGTAGGGTTCATATGTTTGCGTTTCCTTCCTCTTCTCTCCAGTCATGCCCAAACCGCCAGAGGAAGACGTGCTGGTTCTGCCGGATGAGTACAGATACAAGCCCCGAACCAGGAGGGCGGCACTAACGACGCAGCAGACCAATCAGAAGCTAAACGTGGAGACACTTGTGGTGGTTGACCGGAAGATGATGGACAACCACGGCCATGACAACATCACCACATATGTTCTAACTGTGCTCAACATGGTAAAGAATGAGGAAAATTCACTCAAGGCTCAATTGTTGATAGAGGTGTCAAGTGAGAAGTAATTGGTCTGAAAGTTCACACTTGGAGCCATTACATCTTGTTGCTTTAACATTTTGACTCTGTTCACTTACCAGAACGTGATGCTGATGAGATCATTATGACCACATTCTCAGGGCCTGACTTTGCTCTAGTTATTTTTACAGCAAAAGTATCTAGGTAACATCCGTAATAGTTGTTTTTATTAGTATGTGTATTATTGGATTTGGTTAATTCAGTGTTCCCCAACCAGGATTTTGTGAGTTTAGGGCAGGGGTATCCAAACATTTCATTGAGACACTTTAGTTTGAGAGACTTTTCCTGACGCCAAAGACCCAGATTGAAAAAAACAAGGCATCACATTTTTGACAAAGCTGAAGTTGGTTATTTGTCCAACTTTCTGCACTAGCGTCAATTATGCCACGATCTGGATTCAAGAGCTGTACAACGAGGTACTGTATGCCTGTGTTGATGTCCCAAATCACTCCTAAATTTTCAGATTCTACCTACTGTACTTGAGAAGGAAGATTGAGAAGTAATAATTCACTACTAATGTGAACTCATTTGTTTGCCTAATAGACCTATTTTTAGGGTAGACTCCAGACCGCGAGCAGCTTCTCTCTTAAAAAAGCAAGTTTGAGATTGTAATTGAAAGTAACTTTGAAAGTCCTTTTCACACATCGAGTTTGATTGATTGACCAATCCAAAACTGGTCTATTTTTGAAGTTATAATTCTTACTACAGGTATGTTACAGCTGCCGGACAAGAACCTTGTATAAACATAGTGTTAGGTTTCCCGCTACACGCATGGTCACACTCCATAAGTATAATTTAATATTCAACATTTTCACCTTGTCCATGTTTTATGGATTGTTTTCTTTAGACTTAACAGTAAAAATGTGTATATCATGACTGTTGAAATGAAAGATTGAGTTGTGGAAGCGAAAACAAGGAATTACCAAAAGATTGTCATGTGTTATCGCCGAGCATCTGTCAAACATAATAGCTCTGTCCAAACTTTTGATTTGAGAAGTGAAAATGTGCACTTGCTGTTTGCTAACAGACTGCAGCCTTGTGTCAACGTGTGAGTCAGCTGTGAGGAACATAAGGAATGAATGAAGGTGTTCTTGGAGGAAAAAAGAGGGCTTAACAAGTGTCATCAGAGGAATTCAGTCTGCGCTCTGAGAAAGACAAGGGTCCACTTTCAAAGCTCCAGCTGTTTTGATTGATGCTCCGATACTGGCTCCGTTATTAGAAACAGGGGCTGAGGTGGCGGATCAGAGAAAGGTCGAGCTATGCTGAGCTGGGGTTGTCATTGAGTCGTGCGTTTGTAACATGTTGTTCTGGTAAATCGATTATTGTACCAATGTGCTGATAAGAAGTACTGTGACTATTTTCGGTGACATTTTTAAGGCTGTTCATTTGGGTCGATTAGTCTATGGCATCCTAGTCACCTCAAATATGCATTAGTTCACAAATTGTTAAATATAAAATATAATTTGCAATTTATTTAAGTTTTATTGTACAGAAAATCTATTATTTAACAGCAACCTTGTCTTCTTGCTGAACTGCTATGAAGGTGAAGTACTGTATGTTAAAAAACTTGAGGTTGTGCCAGTGACCATACATTCATGCTTGTGAATACTGATGATTTTTAGATGTTAGTTTAACATTCCAAATTGTCCAATGTGTCTTCAGGTTTCCAGTCTGTTTAAAGATGGGACCATCGGTGGAAACATTAACATAGTAATTGTGGGTCTTGTGCTTCTGGATGAAGAACAGGTAATCTACCGTTTGCACTGTTTCTCATAAACCCTTGCATCTTAAAATGAATTGAACCTGCAAGCAAAAAGTTTATAATTTTTTCTTGGGCAGTCTTTTAATGTTGCTTTCCTCTGTTCTTGTTAGTTTGTACTGCAACATTTTACAATTAATTAAAGAGCCGGGAATGTTCTTGGATCAAATTATCAAAGAAGGAATTGTATCTGCAGTAGAAAGACACACAGCGACATACTACAGGGAATTTTAAAGTCCAATACCAACATACAGGGATTAAATTGCTGAATGATTCCTCTATCCAACAGAACGGCTTAGTGATCAACCACCATGCAGACCACACACTCAACAGCTTCTGTCACTGGCAGTCAGCACTGGGAAGCCGAGGCGGGCGAAGACATGATCATGCTGTTCTCCTCACTGGTCTGGACATCTGCTCCTGGAAGAACGAACCATGTGACACACTGGGTAACGCTTGTGACTGGCATTGTTCACTTCAGGTTGCAGCATACAGTAAAACATTGTAGGTCTTCATACATAAGAAACTGCAGTTAGGAGAAAAGCTAAAAGTTGAAACAAATGTGGGAAGCTGTCCCCGGTCCCATGCGACTATCATGTTTGTCTGGGAAGGTGCCTCTGCCATCTGTCCCACCCTTTGACACAGGTTCACATCACCCAAACCAGATGTCCAACAAATCTGTTGTTTTGACATCCGAGCTCTTGAGTTTCACATGTTATAGCAAAGTACACCACATAGTAAAATGATAAGTAAACATTGAAAATGGAAAGCAACACAAGTGCGCTGAGGATTTCTTTATTTGTTTTAATTTTTGACTGATTTCACCTAATATGTACTGTACCATAATCTGATATGTACCCTATATTAACAAAAAGAAGCTTGTCATGGCACTGTGAGAAAACTGACGTGTTGGTATTCATGGAGATGCAGTGATCTCAAAGTTTTCTTTTAGTTTTTTCTTCAAAGTGTAGGTATAGCATTAACCTAGCATTATATATATATGTGTGTATATATATATATATATATATATATATATATATATATATATATATATATATATATATATATATATATATATATAATTTTTTGTGTATGCCTTTTTTTAGGTTTTGCTCCAATAAGTGGCATGTGCAGTAAATATCGCAGCTGTACAGTCAATGAAGACACTGGTTTGGGCTTAGCGTTCACCATCGCTCATGAGTCTGGGCACAAGTAAGATCATCTCAGCAGCTTGAGCACATACACATGCACATATTTTGTTTTCAACATTGACATTTTTCTCTGACATAGTTTTGGGATGGTCCATGATGGTGAAGGAAATGTGTGTAAAAAATCTGAAGGGAACATCATGTCTCCTACATTAGCCGGTCACAACGGGATCTTCTCCTGGTCCGCATGCAGCCGCCAGTATCTCAGCCGATTTCTCAAGTAAGTTTTCTCATGAAGATTCCATATGTCTATTCAGAATTAAAATTATGAATATCATAGCCGAATGTGTAGAAGTCCTCTCCTGTCGTGGGAAAACCTAGAAATCCAACTGAGCAGCACAGATGAAGTGTTCTGAAGCAGCATGGGCAGGCTTTGCAGGACAGCTGTATACACCAATCTGTCATAACATTATGACTACAGACAGGTGCATTATTCCACAGATCAGTCTCTCCATCATGGCACCTGTTACAGGCATCTATCTGACTGAAAATCTTATACTCAGACTTGATGGGAAGACACATGTTCTTCTTCAAGAACATTCTCCTATATTGTCCTACTGTACTGTATATGCAGAAATGTTTTTAATAAAAAATATCATGCTGAAATTGGTTACAATATATATATATGTGTTTTGATAACACATAAATATAAAATGTATTATATTATTATACGGAATAAAAAAGACATTTTGTGGCAATGGTCTGTGTTGAGCCAACTTTTTATGAAATTAATCTGAAGAAATCTGGAACCATGGCAGCTTCAGAGTGGATGGGTCAATTGAGCTCTATCTGTTAAACTTTTGACAAAAGAGTTAGCCAAGCCAATACCATAAAATGTATTGATTAATATGAAATGAGTGAAATATTTAGTTTTTGTTGCTATAGAAGTCAATGTGGAGAACCTTCATATCATCTTTGCTTTTCCAGACATTATATCTATCTGTCATCTATGAGTAACAACATGACCTACATGCAACTTTTCATTGCGTGTTTTACAGCACAGAAATGGGAGAAATATATTGTTTTGTGTCATTATTTTCCAAATGCCGTGCTCTTAGGCTCTTATATGATGCATGTGTGTTTATACCAGACATGTGCCGTTGATTAACATGTATTTCAGAAATCATGGGACTCAAAGTGTTGATCTACATTCGTAGTGTCTGGCCTTTCTGTCTGTGAATGTGTATGTGCTTGAAACGAGATAGGTCAAAGCTTGTGCCCGCCACTAAATTTACCAGCTAACTGTCAGGTCCCCCCTCTCAAAGAGTTGCAGACGGTACCACTGCATTTCCTGGCTGAGTTATTGGAGCTGTAGTGACCTCATCCTTGTTAGGGCTGTCAGCTTTATATTAAAACTCCCATTACCCCCTGGGCCTTGCGACGGATATCACTGAACCAATGAACTCTCTTCACAGTCAACACTCTATAAAAACCGCTAAATTATGTGTTTTTGACTAATTATAATCAGCTACACATGAAGATAAGTTGATTGCAAGTGTAGCAGATTGTTTTGTTTGATTCAGGAAGCCAAAAGCATCAGATGTTTTTGTAATGAATCTGTCCGGAAAAGTACTGCAAGTTAGTGAACTTGCAAACCCGGCATAAAACAACATTGCTTGACAAGACTTTTGTGAATCTAAATAATAATAAAAAGACACAAACAAAACTATCGAAGCTTGAACTGTACTTTGTACCCATAATTTCAGTGTAGTAAATATGGCATTTACGGTGCTTAATCTTTTCAAAGTAAATGCCATAAATCTCATAAGGACTAGTAATAGGTTTAACTATGCGTTGTGAGAGAAAATAGAGCTAGTTGGCAAGTTGTTGGCTAATTATAAATCAGAATTTCTTCCAAACACACATGTTTCACACTTCAGTCAACTGCATATTTATTTGTCATTTTAAAATATTAGATCAACACATTACAAAACCCTAAATGTGAAGAAAAACTCATTTGAATTTAGCCTTCTTTGAATACTACACAGCATACTTTTATAGACCCATGGCTATAGTCATGATTGGACGAAACTTAACACTAGTTTATTCTCTGGATAAGTGCCTTGTAGGTTCCTAGCCCAGATAAGTACTCATGCAGAAAATACATTGTTATTCTCAGACATAAGGCAATAAAACAAAGCACAATTGCACACGCTCTCTCTGCTAAAGCCATCATGTACATGCTTTTACCATATTCTGTGCTGTAGTTTCTTGGCCTGTTGTCCCAAAGCTGTAAAACATCTCCATATAGAAACCGGTGATATCGGTTAACACTGGAAACCCCCACTGGTGATTTGGGCAAAAGATTTTTCAGACATAATGATGTGACCGTTACACTTAAGTACTTTATTTGAGTGAAGTTTGGCAGATTGTTTTGTTGCCATGATCATGCTCATGGGCTAACTCCCCCAGAAGCAGAACATAGCCCCTGCAAATTTTTTTGTAAATGTTTGTTTGTAAAATTGTAATTTTTTAGAAATAAACTACCACAACTGTTACTTATAAACCTTTATTTGTTCTATTATACATTTTCACAAATCCATATGCAGTTGAATGACTAAATGGAGATTTAAAAACTTCTCATGAGAAGATTATTTGTACATTATGATGTGCTTTTCAAACAATATAATGATTAAATTGAGACATGTTTCTGTTCTCAGCACAGCCCAGGCTCTGTGCCTGTCTGATGAGCCCAAAGCAGTGGATGAGTATCAGTATCCAGAGAAGCTGCCTGGAGAACTCTATGACGCCGACACACAGTGTAAATGGCAGTTTGGAGAAAAGGCAAAACTCTGCACTCTGGATTTTAAAAAGGTGAAATATCTATTACTGTATGAGTATCAGGTTAACCCATGTTATGAGAGGTCAATTATGCCATGGTGATTGAAAAAGTGATGAAGATATTGGCAAGCCTTGATTCTCCTTGGACTTTGCAGAACACACCCATGTAACACAAGTGCTTTGTAATGTAACAATGATAGCAATATACTATATTATACTATATACTATAAGGATGCAGGAATTAGTATGTACAGTAAATTCTTCTTCCCTCTCTTAGAAACCAAACCGTCTAAAGTGCAGCTATTAAAAAGTCATTGGAATAAGTTACTGGCTGTAAAGTAAACACTGGAGCTTTGCCAATGGGAATCTGTCCATTTGGGGCACTCATTGTCTCATTAGTGCTCATGTTGCTCTTGGAGTCGCTCTACCAGCCTTTTCAATAGAGTTTAATTTTGTACAGTGTTCAAGTAATGATACAATAATAAGCATGTTCCGTGTCCTTCATGCTACTAAACATCTGGACTACAAATGTCCCAATTTAACCTCAAAATCTGGTCATTTGGACACAGATGCAAATCTAGAAATTCTACTAAACAGGACACAAAAAATAAACGAGGAACAATACGTACCATTTCTTGGCCTGTTTGAATGTGCTCCATGACCACAATTCGGACTCAAATTTAAGTTGGTCCCTCAACACGTGTCACTCATAAAATGACACCTGTATTACTACACTCTTGGGTGTCTTTTTCTATCCCATGATTTCACATTACATTTATGTTATTGGCCCAATAATATCTCTTAGGAGTCACATGATATTCTCAATAGTTTGTAACCACATAGTGAAACATTACCCCATAGTATTTTAAAGAGCACAATATACCTATCTTTCATCTGTATCTATTTTCCATCTTGATTTGTTCTTTCACTCTCTACTCTCGCATTATTATTTGTTGAGCCGGCAGAAAAGACCTGGACACTTGCCTTGAGATCAATTCCTTGGTGGCTCTTGGCATCTGCAGTGAACTGTCAAAATCTGATATAGTCATTCTCATATTAATAGCGAGGACATGTTGAAAAGCAGCAGGCAAAGTTTCCTCTCATAACAAAGAATACAGAGACAGCTTCAACTTATGTTACGACAATCCATCATCTTCATTCATTAAGTCAGGCAACTTTGTTGGGATATGCTCCTTGATAATGACTTTTAAGAAGGTCTAGTTAACTATGTCACAATATCCCACAATTTTTTTAATTCTATTGTAACAGGTCTTTATGCTAAATATTATTGCTAATGAAGATATTGGGCTGGATCAGAAGTGTCAGCTCTGGGAGTGACTGACAAATAAAGATGAGATAGAATTTTGAATCCTAGGACATTCAACTTTTAAATTGTATTTAGAGCCATGTATTTATGGTCTAGACTAAATTGAAAACAAAATTGCTAAATTGTTAAATGTTGTTTAGTATAAACATTCTTTTATAATATCCATGTGTGTATGTGTACGACCAGCAATAATCATGAGCACATATTCACACAGATACTGTTTACATTGTGTGTACAAGTTTGGTTTTTACATGAGAACGTGTAATAGGTAAGAAATGTCCATTTGTTATTTGTTTAAGTGCTTCTTGTTGTCCTAGTTACCAGGACATACTGTAAACGACTCCAAACAAACATTACTGCTGATATAGAGATTGGAAAAATATTATTAAAAGAGATTAATCTGCACGTTTAGTCCGTTCATTCAACTGCACTCTCTCTGGAGACAAAAAGCATCAGTCTGATTTATGGTGCTTTGATTTCCCGTGTCTGGAGTGCGATGACTCTGCATTGCTCATTAGTCATTGACATAATGTAAATATCTGTCTATGTTTGATTGATACAGGACATCTGCAAGGCCTTGTGGTGCCACCGCATCGGGAGGAAGTGTGAGACAAAGTTCATGCCAGCAGCGGAGGGTTCTGCTTGTGGCCCAGATATGGTGAGTTTACATTATGTTGGGATTTTCTCTATCAATTGTACATGTTTTCTTATACAATTTACAAAAAATTGTGCGTGAGCACAACTGATCTTTATACACTGATCTTTTTTACAAGATCAGTGTATAAAGTACCTTAATTCTCTTCTACTCTTATTATGGCTAAATCCTCTCCTCATGATTCTGGGGAGATATGGTAGAAAGGCCTGGATCATGTGATGTACTGTATCGCTCTAACATTTTGGCTTATATTAAGAGTGTCTGAATGTAATCTCAACGTTTTTTGTGTTTCCTGAAAAAAAATCTCTTATATCTTCAAACATTACTTACTTAGTATAGGTGATTATTTTAAGAACTTCCAAGTGTGCAAATGAAGGTCAACTGACAAGTAGTGTGTGTCTGCTGTGTATAGGTTTCTTCCTGAATTGAACAAAAGAAAAATGCTTGCTGTTTATGCTTTTACATATATCCTATGGCCTAGTATTAGAATTAATTCATCTAAGTCATCATAGATTTCAACAATGCCTGTACTTACAATCAAATGCTATGATTTAATGCTGATTCTCCTCTGCGTAAACATTTAGTAAACTCGAAGAGGACCTAAGTCTGGACTTATGGTTCATCTCAGGCCATTTGAAGTGGACTGCATCATTTTACCTCTGGCAGCAGCTGGGATTGGTTTTGGTGCTGACCCTGCAAAAATGTGCCATGACTTTGATGCCAAAAAACAAACTATCCACTTAGACTTGATTCAGTTCTCATGCTTATTTCAAGATGATCCTCTGAAGGGGTTTGTTCTGACCCTCTCTCCCCTGACAGCTCTGCATCAACATTGACTTCTCAATATATTGAACTTGATGTCTTAATCCCGCCCCTCTTGCTTCACGGGACAATTAACTCGGCACACAAACAACTGACAGACGCACTTAGGAATCCCACCACTCTGCCACAGGGGGGAACTCTGTGAAATCAGCTGTTCTTTCTTTGAGCCCAGAACCACCGGATTAAACAGTTCCATGGGGAAGGTGTCTTAATATGTCCTTTTTGGGTGTAATCTTGAATATCTTGACATACATTTCAGTAATAGATATAGTATATGTTCAAGTCAAATTCAATAATGTCAGATTTAGTTTTATTATTGCTGTTTTAGACATAGGTTAAATCAATGAGTACACAAATTTGTAATAATTCATTTTCAGTACTTTTTGCTTGATTTTTTCTTGATTACATGATTATACATAGTATATATAAAATGTATAGCAGTTGTTGTACTGAATATCTAATATCTAAAAAAATATATATATATTAGATAATCAGTACAACAACTGCAGTATCTAGCATATGCTATACATTTTCTGATTAAAGAAATATATTCTGTATGATGCTTGTGATAAAAATCTACAGGGCACGTGCTGGATGCTCATGCACTGTATACATTTTTGTAGTCAATGTAATGTGAGCTGTTTAAGTGTAATGTATGGATGATGTAACACACTCAAATCCAATTCAAACGCAGTACTAGGAAACTGCATTTGACATAATGTTGCTTTAGGTGAAACCCAATTTTTGTGAGACCTTCAAGTATCACATTTAGGGATTTTTTAGCACGTGACTGGTTGCTTGGATAATGAGTCAGCTGTTTTGATACACTTCGGGAGTTTCAAACATGACCTCATACAGGCCTTTTTACATTATTATTAGTTACATCTAGAAAGCTTTTTTGGCTTGCATTCCCCTTTGAGCAGATCACTTATTTAAATAGATACACAGTTCATTATTTTTAAAAGAAGTGTTTTACTTAAACAACTTTATTGAAGATTGTCCAAATTTAATACACGGCTCCTCACAGCAGCAGTAGAATGCTCCATTGATTTGAATGCAATTTCAAAACGGTCATTATTTCTTATAACGGACCTCAAAACAATAATGACCGCTTGGCAACCAAGCCCCGGCGATCCAAGATGGCGCCCTATTCAAATGAATGGTTGTGCTCAGTGGCGCTTTGTGACAGCATGGTGGCTGAAAGATTAGCGGAAGTCGCCTGGAACTCGCAAAGATCTATGGGAAACTCGCCTGTATTTGGGCATCGTCTGGTCCTCCCGGTTCTGCGCAGTGGATGATCTCCCATAATGCGTTGCGCCAAACACGCGTGTGTGGGTCTCACACCAGGTCTCACGCACGTGCACAGAGGGGCTCGGCCGCGCTCTGACCAATCAGAGCAGTTCATCAGAGCGGGAGTTAGAGCGAGAGCCAGACGAGCAGAGTTTGTGGCACTAAAGTGTGGATTTAAGGATTTAAGAAGAAAAAAAGTTCAGCATGACAAGGGACACTAAAATCCCCACAAAATCCGATCTTTATGAAAGCTGTAGGTTCTCTGTCAGCTGAGGTCGAGCTGTTTTAATATGCATTGAGTTCTATGGGGAAAATTTCTGGGTAGCCCACGTGAATTTAGTCTGGTTCAGTCTGCAGTACCGCGAGAATCCCCGAGCACATTATGGATTTAGGTTAGGTTTATGTTTGGGATACTCACCGCTGATGTTCAGAATTCTTTGTTCAGTTTTCATGCATTTCAAGAGAGTTCTAGTTCGGGAGTTGCTAGCGTAACTGTTATTAGCCTAGCTGTTGCTAGACTAACTGTTACTGGCATAGCCACGGGAAAGCCTTTGGGAACTATTTTATTTTCTGTCATCTAATAAACCTTTTGGCATTCCTAAGAGTGGACTGAAGTTTATTTTGTGTGTTCTGTTGGTACAAAGCCGTATAATAAGTGGGATAATGTATAGTACACAGGTCATTATCGGACCTGCGCGTCAGGGTCCGCTTCGCCCTGTCGGTACTTATTTTACGATAATGACCTGTGTACGATACATTATCCCTTACATACTGTATACCAACTGACACTACCTCTGTCCTTTGGATTCTCAGTAAAGAAAAATATCTTCATAATTAATTATTTGCATGTTCAGTCACAATTGCCTTGTGTCTTTGGACATAGCACTCTGTCTCCTCTAGGTAACATGAAGTAGAAGTAAAGTGTTGGTGTAATATCGTGAGTGCTTGGCCAGTTCTGGAACTATCTGACAGTAGTTAAACTTTAAATCCTCCTAAACAGCTTCAGAGGCAGCTCTCATAAAGATGATCTAACACTGGCTCACTCGAGGAGACTGTACCATTTCGACATTTTTACGGCCCCTTATTCTGAGCATGTGGGGTAACTCCCTTGTTCCGTCTTTTTAAAACTTTGCATGTGTTTTTGTTTTTTCTATGCAGTGGTGTCGCAGGGGCCAGTGTGTGAAGCAGGGCGATGAAGGCCCACGTCCGCAGCATGGACAGTGGTCAGAGTGGTCGTCATGGTCGGCCTGCTCCAGGAGCTGTCAGAGCGGAGTGTCCCATAGAGAGAGGCAATGCAACAACCCCAGGTACAAATCATCATTTCCAGCAAATGAACACTATATAGTTTGGCCCTGGTTCTTCCAGGTACTACAAGGTGTGTAGTAATATCCACTAGACTTAGCATACTTAGTTTACACCATCGCATGGATGAATATGCTGGCCCTTTGTGGGGAAAACATTGGACCCTGATTTTGTCTCCTTTGTCTCTGTTAGGAAGGGTGGAATTAAAAAAAAACTTGAATGATTGAAAGCCACACACAAAAGAATAGCAAGTTTTTAGAATTTGGGGGGTGAACAATCACATTCTGGTTTGATGTACCAGTATTGTGTTTGTAAGTAGTTTGTCAATTTGTAGATGTTCCCTTTTTAACAGCAACCACATCCCAACTGTTATGCAATTTAACTTACTGGTTGAAGTATAGTTACTACTGTCACAGTTTTAGAGTACCCAACAGCAGCGGCAGAAGCAGCAAGTGCCAATAAAGATTTTAGATTTACATCAAACAGCTAAGTGAAACGGGCTGGGGGTCCAGGTGAGCAGGTGGGTATAGAAATGGCAGGTTGGCAAACAATGATAGTAACACCTGAACAAGGATAACAGGATGTTATCTCTTGAATTGTTTTTTTTTTTTTTGAGTCAAAATGCTTCTACTAACTGGTGTATAGTATAAATAACAAACTGGCGAGAAAAGGACGTTAAAACCAGCCTTTTATACTGCAGACAGGGATGAGGGGATTGGAAACAGGTGAGCCTACAGCCAGCTGGGCTGAGCCTTGCCCAGATGGAAGGAGAATCAGTCTCAGAGATTGGAGGGGGAGAAGTACACACAGAGTGGATCCTGACAAATAGGAGTACTGTAGCCCCCACACAAATTCTCAAGTTGCAGGGAAAACGTCTCACCATCTTAATGCAAAACTGTAATAAAGAAAAGGACAGAACAATCAAATATTTGGGAATAGTTGGCATCTTTCATGGCTTCAAAGGCTCAAAGCAGTGATTTAACACACTGAGGATAGTTCTCACAGCCTGATGCTCCCATCTTATCTGTTCGCTTTAGTTTCTTATTCATCAGTCACTCAGGATTACTCGCGCTGCCAGTCAAGGGGCCCTAGTACCACAAAACCTGGGCCTCCTGTTTATCATGTCATGCCAAGATCTTGACAAGTGGCTAAATTAGGCTGAGAGTGATGAGAAGAAAAATAACAATGTAGAATTTGGAATGGAGGTAGAGGAAGAGTAACAGATAACAGACAGGCTTGGGCAAGGGAAGTATGAAATGCTCAGAGTATAGGGACATCTATATGTGACAGTGTGATTGGCTGGAGCTTATTAAAGGTATAATTGTCATGAAGACGGGTTTCCAAGAATGTTGCCCGCGGCTATACACCTATGTTTGAACCCACTGTTTATGTATTGTACACACCACCTACTATTATGTGCAACTATGCAAGTCGTGGCATATCAAATTGCACTTTCCAATCTTTCCAGGCCAGTGTATGGAGGGAAATTCTGTGAAGGTTCTTCCAGGTCGTACAAACTGTGCAACACTGAAGATTGTCCTCCCAACAGTATTGACTACAGAGCGCAGCAGTGTGCAGCCTTCAACAGCAAGCAGTTTCGAGGGTGGTACTATACATGGAGGCCGTACACTAAAGTGGATGGTAAGACAAGGCTTTGGGAGCACAATTTCATACCGTTTTTTATCACACATGCTTTGTTCTTTGAGGGGAATAATTTTCGATATTTGGCGAGCACAGATTAATAGTTTGTCCGATTAGAATGTCAAGGTTCTATCTGGCATTTTTGTTCAGAGGTAGTTATTTTCTTCTTAGTCCTGGATACCATCTGTATGCTTTACAGTCTAACTTTTGTTTTGCCTGACACATGTAGCTCCTAAGCACTGATTACTAATGGCATCCAACTGCTGGGGTTTAGTTAGAACAATTATGTGCTGCCTTAAGATAGCGCAAAACCAGCTAAAATTCCCCTTACTAGCAACTCAAATAAGGCACTCATTCTGCTCTCTGAAAATTGTAAACATAAACATCATAGACATCATCTCCATTGTATTTTTTAGTATTAATAATAACTTAATATTTATCCCAATGTACCAAAACTTATAAACTGCTCATGACCTATGTATTATTTTAACATCCGTATTATATTTGCCGTTCAATTCTGACAGAACAAGACATATGCAAGCTGTACTGCTTTGCCGAGGGATATGATTTCTTCTTTGCTCTGGCCAGCAAAGTTAAGGATGGCACACTCTGCTCCCAGGACAGCTCAAACGTGTGTATTGATGGACTCTGCGAGGTAAGATTTAGAGTGTGTCTGCCATAGAGTTTTGCCATAGATTTTTAGAGGCAGGGAAGAAAATGCATGATGCAATGTGTCATCTTCAAAAGAAGTTTTTGTCCGCCTTTTTTCAGAAAGCTGGTTGTGATCGTGTACTTGGCTCTTTATCTGGGCTCGATGCCTGTGGGGTGTGTAAAGGAGACAACTCTACATGCAAGATTCATAAAGGGCATTATACCAAACAGCATTATACAAATCGTGAGTTATTAGCACACGTCTTTAATTTTGAAGATACAGGGATTTACGTTTTCTTGACTGGTTTTTATGATGATCTAAATGAACATTATTTGGACTACTACACCATCCTTGTAGCCTGTAAAAAAAAGTTGAAGAATGTGTTTAAAATTACAGGAAGTAAAGACAAAAAGTTGTTTATCATGATGTACACAACAATACTCATTTTCAGACATTTCAAATACTAATCAAACTATAGATTTCTAAAAATGTTTTGCCTTGTGTGCGATGTGGAATGATTGGCCATAGAGTGATGTAATTTGAATAAAAGCAATGTAACCAAATTAAATGTCAAATTGGTTGCAACATTTTGAATACAATCTTTGCTGTATTTCATTAAAATGAATACTGTAGTCAAATTTGTCAAAGAATAGTGTGTGATTGCCCCGTTGTGCTTTGAATTTTAGGCACATGAATAAATGTTGTCAGATTTTTTTTGTAAATGTATTTTGTTTGTATTTTGTGTATATTTAGAGTATTATGGGGTGGTGACGATTCCAGCCGGAGCCAGGAATATTCGTGTGGTGGAGCTGAACACCTCCAGCTCTTATTTGGCCGTGCGCGACACACACAGACACTACTTTCTCAACGGACAGTGGACAGTGGACTGGCCGGGCAGACACGCGATCGCAGGGACCATGTTTGAGTACAAGAGACCATACAATAGACCAGAGAGTCTTCTATCAGCTGGGCCAACTAATGAGACACTTATTATTGAGGTAAAATATATGTATTTGTTGTGATTGTGTCACATGTGAAGCCACAACTTTTTTGCTATGCGCTTTGTGTCATCCTGTGTAGGAGAAGCCTTCTATAAATAAACATTTATTGATTGATTATCTCAGAATTGTTTCATGTAAGTAATAATAAACTCGTGGGCGACAGTGGCTCATTTGGTGGAGCATTGGCCTTTTCGGCTTGAAGGTCGTGGGTTTGAGCCCACCATAAGACCTACTTTACAACTCCCACTGATGACTGCTGTTGTTGTGTCCTTGGGCAAGACACTTAACCCCACTTTGCCTGAAGCCCCTGCTGAAAGATCAAGGCTCCTGTGGACTCACCACCTGCAGGAGGATCAGTGAGGGGCTGGTGCTCTGTGTACTGGGTGCAGCTCTGACTGCCACCCCCCGACTCAGAAATGGATTAAGGGGAAGAAAATGAATGGATGGATGGAAGTAAGAATGTTCATTTCATTTCAGATTTTGCTTCAAGGCTGGAACCCTGGTGTGCGCTGGGAATACACCATAAAAAACATAGATGATAAGAAGAATTACATTAAACACAGCTATACCTGGGCCATTGTTCGCTCACAGTGCTCTGCCACATGTGCAGGAGGTAAGTCAAAGATATGGGTCATAGACATAGTTAGTTTTACAACATTGAGAAGGGCAAAAAGGAAGCAAGAGCTACAGTACGCAAATACTATTATTTACTACTACACTATTGTTATTTCTATTGTAAATATTCAACGTTGTTTATCCTTACTCTCCCAATCTACGGAGCCAGTGGTAATGAGCCACAGACTAAAGCCTGCAGGTTAAATTGTGCAGTGGAGCCTTCTCATCATTACAACATAAGGTTTGGGCTGGGACATCTCTTTTTCTACTGACCTACCATTACGCACACGCATTTGTTGGCTGGACAAGCAGATACATGCACAGCTGCTCCAACTGCCCTTTGTCCCACCACAGTTAAAACACACACAGCTCTAATGACACGGGCTGCCCCTTCCTCAGCCAGGGGTCAGCCATTGGAACAAGGTGTGTCCCCATATTAACGTGTTTGCAAAGTCTGGTATGCATTTGTCATGTCGGGCTACCAAACCTGGCTTTAGCTGTGGTTTTGCCTGTGAACCTCAACAAAGGGTTCAGTGTCTGTTTGGCATTGATTAAGGTTAAAGATCCATGCGGCGTTGTGTTTAGGTCCTCCCTGATCGCCCGCCTTTTGTGATCCTGGGTCATAGTCGGCTGGTGGGTCATTAGCAGCATTAAAGACTGTTGGTGACTTTCTGACCTCGCTTGGACGCCCAAAGTGACCTTTTCTGTGGCAAACATCAGGGTTCAAATTCACATAAACAGACAAAACATTAAACATATTGGTAAATAATTGATTGATTTTTTTGACCAACAAGCCAGTCAAGTTTGATTTAAGGCACTTTAACTATTGCACATGTTTTTGGGGGCTAAGCAGCATTCAACTCAGAAAGAGCATGTGCTGACCCAGGAGCACCCAAGTGCTCACCACTCAGCCAAATATAGTTTAATTGACCAAAATTAACAAATTTTTGACAATGACTTTTAATCACTTTTAGACAGATTACAATATCCGACTGATTTACTAATCTACAGTGCCTTGCGAAAGTATTCGGCCCCCTTGAACCTTTCAGCACACATTTCAGGCTTCAAACATAAAGATATAAAAATTAAATTTTTTGTCAAGAATCAACAACAAGTGGGACACAATCGTGAAGTGGAACAAAATTTATTGGATACTTTAAACTTTTTTAACAAATAAAAAACTGAAAAGTGGGGCGTGCAATATTATTTGGCCCCCTTGCGCTAATACTTTGTAGCGCCACCTTTTGCTGCAATCAGCAGTTTTGCACATCGAGAGACTGGAATTCTTGCCCATTCTTCTTTCAGAAGGCATTCTTCCTTGCAAAACAGCTCGAGCTCAGTGAGGTTGGATGGAGAGCGTTTGTGAACAGCAGTCTTCAGCTCTTTCCACAGATTCTCGATTGGATTCAGGTCTGGACTTTGACTTGGCCATTCTAACACCTGGATACGTCTATTTGTGAACCATTCCATTGTAGATTTGGCTTTATGTTTTGGATCATTGTCCTGTTGGAAGATAAATCTCCGTCCCAGTCTCAGGTCTTTTGCAGACTCCAACAGGTTTTCTTCCCGAATGGTCCTGCATTTGGCTCCATCCATCTTCCCATCAATTTTAGCCATTTCCCTGTCCCTGCTGAAGAAAAGCAGGCCCAAACCATGATGCTGCCACCACCATGTTTGACAGTGGGGATGGTGTGTTCAGGGTGATGAGCTGTGTTGCTTTTACGCCAAACATATCGTTTTGCATTGTGGCCAAAAAGTTCGATTTTGGTTTCATCTGACCAGAGCACCTTCTTCCACATGTTTGGTGTGTCTCCCAGGTGGCTTGTGGCAAACTTTAAACAAGCCTTTGTCTTCATGGTTCTCTCTGCGCTTTAAACAGAACCCTGAGACTATCAAAGAGCAGGTGCATTTATACGGAGACTTGATTACACACAGGTGCATTCTATTTATCATCATCAGTCATTTAGGACAACATTGGATCATTCAAAGATCCTCACTGAACTTCTGGACTGAGTTTGCTGCACTGAAAGTAAAGGGGCCGAATAATATTGCACGCCCCACTTTTCAGTTTTTTATTTGTTAAAAAAGTTTAAATTATCCAATAAATGTCGTTCCACTTCACGATTGTGTCCCACTTGTTGTTGATTCATGACAAAAAAATTAAATTTTATACCTTTATGTTTGAAGCCTCAAATGTGGCGAAATGTTGAAAGGTTCAAGGGGGCCGAATACTTTGCAAGGCACTGTATATTTATAGTTTAATTATTCCATTAATGTGATTGTCATGTTTTAGCCTTAGGACTTATTCAGGCTTAGGTATTCTGTAATATAATTTACAGTAATATTTTCTTATGACAAGAAAGAAATGTGCGTAGTTTCTCACAATATTTTTCAAACGAGCTATGCTGACACTCTTTGTCAGGATTATTTTTCACTTGAAAAGTGACTATCCTGACAGGCCCGCGCATGTTTCCCTCAGGTCAGATGAACACCAAAGCAGCGTGCTTCAGGGACCTCCGAGTGCAGGTGAACACATCCTACTGCAACACAAGACTGAGACCTTCTACTGGAGTCATGCCCTGCAACACTCAGCCTTGTCCTGCCAGGTTAGTCCCAAAGCATCACAACCACTCCCAAACACTCATGTTGTCACACTAATACTCTTTGAAACGATGAGGATTTAGACTTTCACTATTCATATACATCACAGCTTTCTGTGTTGCATGTGAAATACTAGAAACGACTTGGAAATTATGTGCTATTACGCAGATATATCGTGACACATCATTGGCCATCATAATCTCTTTGACAGGTCCCACGCTGTCTTATGACTTGCTCTTTTTACAAAATGCCAATGTTTTGTTGAGTCAGCGTCTTCAACATGTCAATGAATGTTGTCACGAATTACAAACTGTATTTTCCTTATTTCCATCCAGAAAACCTGTTGCACTTGACATTTTTCTTTCTTTATAAAATACCTCGCCCTTTGACCAACATTTGAGAAAACGGAAAAGCTGATTGAATATTCTGTTTGTGTTTTGAGCTCAGTGCTTTACCAGCTGTCATCATCGGTTAGCTTCTGTGTTTGTTTAAAATTACAGGCCAAATACTTTTTTTCACTTATAACATCACTGTTACAACACTCCATCACAAGTATCTTTTGCCAAAACCGAGAGCCACAAGAGATGACATTTAATAAATGAGCAACAGAAGGCTAATCAGTTTGAAACCAGACGCACCATGTGGGAATAATGTCTTGTCCAGTTCACTAGGGTTGCAATGGACAAATGTTACTTTATGATGCATGACCGAGCCAAACAGAAGGAGGCAAATGTATATATACGGGAGACTGATCATGACATGGTGGTTTTCGGGTGAGGTTTGATTACCGCCGCCGCTGCCCCTGACGTAGGCACGGGATCAAAGATGGCCGGCTTCGTTGGGCGGGGTGTTGACAAGCAGGACAAGTACGGACACACTCTAATGGGCTAACACCATAGGGAAATGACCCCTCCCTTGTCTGCACTGCCTGGACACTGTCTTTTAGGGTAAAATTGAGGCCAGGAAAATGTCAGTGACCTTTGGAGATAAGACTGGGGTAATGGAGATGGAGGATTAAGATAGCAGCAACCATTGACGTGTGTTTAGACAGCACGGCAGTTCACATTAGGCTACATAATGTGTACAAATAAGGTCTTAAAGCTGCGCTGTGGAACTTTGCTGGAGGGTGTGTCTGCTACTTTCTTTAATTGTGGAAATGACATTATTTTACTTCTAGAGTCTAACAGCAGAGCATGAAATTCATCTAGTTTACTCTAAGAGACAAGCCAGTTCAATTGATGTAATCTCTGTATTTTAATGGAGAAAAAACATTTCGTAACCCAAATAGAATAAAAGCAATGGTGAAAAGGCAGTTGACAGATAGATTGATACTTTATTGATGCACCCTACTCCATTGACGAAAAAGGTACAATGTTAATAAAAGTAAATAGATCTTCGTTTTGTAGCTTCTGATTTCAATCGTCCAGGCTTATCATCTCAAGGTTCAATGTCATTCTCCTTGATTTGAATGTTTTTCATGGAATTTTCTTGCTTTAGAATACCGATAATTAAACCAGTATTGCTGAGATATGCCAATCTGTTGTTTAATATTTTCATTTGCCACATCCTTTACAGTAAATGCATGAGAAACTGCGACGATTACTAAGGGAAATTGAATGGTTTGTTTAAGAGTGATAGACGAAACTGAAGGAGACATCAAAGAGGAAAAGGAAAACTCATATACACAGTCCGACAGTTTTACTACTAGGACACAAACAATGGCAGCCTTATGTCTGTGTTTACGGTGTATTAGGGTGCATCATTATGCGGCAAACAGACACTGACTGCATCCTTCTGCTGGGCCCAGACCCCACTTATGCTCTTACTCATGTAGTAGAGCAGATGGATCTTTCCAACAGCACATACCACGAGTCAGCATTTCTACTCATCAGTCTGTCCTGCTTCCTCTTTTCCCACTGATTTGTCTGTCATAATGTCGTTAAGTGTTCTGTTCTGCCCCAATCCCACCTCTCACCGGCTCCTCTTGGATCTAAAGCAATTACTTTGCGTTACTCGGGTGCCTGCAGGCGGTAGAGATCTTCCTTGTGATCTTAATATCCGTGCGATCCAAAACAATTCACAAAGGCCTCGATTCTGCTCCAAACAATTCATTGATTCAAGGATCATCCTGTTGCGTTTTAGCTTTAGTAATTGAATGAGTCATCGACAGTTACTGTTTCAATTGATTCATTTTAGACAAAAATGGCCCAGTTTATTGCTCCTTGACTGGCCGCATACAGGTGGAACTCGGAACCTTAGAATATTGTTCATTCACTCCAATTCAACTTAGAATGTCAAACTAATAAATGACAGACAAATTTAGATAGATTAAGCCTTTGTTTTGTTTTTTATAATGGTGATAATTGACTGGTAATAAAATTGTGATAAAAACCCCAAATAAAACATCTCAGAAAAGTAGATTATTGAAAATATATTCTCATAATACATAGATAATCAAGTAATAAATGGATGAATGAATTATCAATAAATAATATTGAATTTATGACCAATATTATTTTTTTCCAAGTTGCACCTTGTCAATGTCAATCACAATGTTGTGATACTGTTATTTCAGTGTTCATAACTGTTTGTTGATGGTGTGAAAAGTATACGTCTTGTGGCTATGCCTGTATACTGTCGATGATTGAGTACAACATGAAGAAATGCACTGGTTCAACTTCGGAAAACTGAGATTTTTCCACTGGATTAACAAGTTGTCTGTTTCATATCTTTCTAACTGTACTTGCCATCGAAACGGTCGGACAGATTGTCTTACACCACACGCCTCAAGGTAATGTTTATGTTCTCCCTCTTTAGTTTGTTTTGGAGTCTCATTGTGTGAAATGCAGTCCTGATTTCAAACCTGGACACACGGACCACTTCCTACGTCTCAGTCTATGAGCATTTACCCTGTAATGGAGTAACACATTTACAGTGTCCTTTAAGTACGATAGAGAGAAGTATAATTGTGAGTCATCTGAGAATTGTTTACTCTCTTGTTTCTGGACAAATCTGCCTCATTATCATCGGCAGCTGCTGCGTAGCTTTGTTTAGGGTGAGCTTGGGATTCACTATAACAACACAGTGTGAAAGAAGATTATTATTATTGAATATAAGCCATTAGTTTATAAAAGGATTATACTTTTGAGATTTCTAGTATTAGTTTGTAATAGTAAGCAATGCTACTCAATTAATTGGGTCACTATGCCATGGGATTGATCTGAAATGACTTGAGAAAAGATTCAGATTAATTGACTTCCTGTTCAGAACTACCTCACCGTAGTTGCATTTTATTTCATGTATTTGTTTTGCATTATCATTTGTATTAAGTCATTATCAGGCAGTTCAAGTTTAGCATGGACCATGAATTAAACCGTATATTGTCACGTTATACGGTCACATTGGTTTATCATATCCCCAAACTTAATTCCGGTACCTTTCAATCTTTTCATCTAATTATATTCCGTACATGCACATGAAAAGGTGTCCATATAAGCATAATTTACATTCCACCATGTATGTGTTTACAAACTTTTTCAATAGTTGAACTGTCAGATGAGAACATGAAGGACACAAAACACACTTTCAAAGCTAAACTGGGCCTCGCTATGTTTATCAATCTCCTGCTCTTAGCGATATCCTTTTTCATTTTACCGTGTCAGCATTAAGAGCTCGTCTGGCATTGGCATTGGCATCATCATTTAAAACGCTTCTGAGGACTACTAATAACAGCCATCTCCTCCAACACCACAGATCTCAGCTCAGCCTGTCCAGTTATTGGGTATCCCTGTGTATGGACAAACACAATAATAGTAATAATATTTAGTAATAATAATAAAGATAAGACGAATGCTTCTGATGGTTTTTTTGGGCACATGATTGGTGCTAAATTATACTGTATCTCCAGCTTCTGCGGACTGGTAACTTGCAGACTTCAGAGATCAGATCAGATAAGATGAGAGAACCTTTATTCTTCCCACAGTGGGGAAATTTCCATGTTGCAGCGCACATACAGGACAGTAGTAAGAGCACACAGGGGGCACACAAAATATACAAAGTAAGTAGCTGCTATGTTTCTTAGCTAGCCGTAAATGCTACAAAATCAATATATTGATAAATCTCTATAAGATGCTTCATTTACATACAGGGCAGGATAGAGATAAAGAGCTTATTAGGAACATATTAAACAATAATCAGTGCTCTATTATTGTTTAGTATAACAAAGAAAGCCATGCTCAAATTTAAAACGGCAATAAAAGTGTGTCTACAGTAAACCAGAGTCACGGGTTGTGTTAGTCACTGGTGCCTCTGGTCAGCTGTGTTAAGTAAGACTAGATATGACTTCAAACTCACAGGATATCTGATATGTGCTACTTCTGAAAGCTGAGGCTGTCGCATCCACAAAGCACTCTCCACAAGTAGCGATGATCTAAGGTCTAAAGATGTAAAATCTGCAGCTGTATATAACAAGCATTGCATTTTTTATGTTACTAGTTTTTGATCCATTACCTCATAAACATCCAAAACGCATTCATTCTTCCATTTATTTATTGTTGTTTATTGACTGCAATTATACCCTGTCTAATGTTGAGTCTGGCGTATGTGTGCTTGTCTGACACACCTGTCTGTTCCCTTTTCTGGTTCTAAAAGTCAACATAACCCTCACTATTCTATACTTCCTTCCAGCTGTGAGAGCACTGATGACTGTTTGTTAGGCTTTGTATGTGAATATAAACAAGGCAAAATGTGCACTCTTCCTAACTTAAATCTTTCTTTGATGAGACTTGTGTATCTTCTTAGTGACAAGCCATAACTCACAACCAGATGGAGTATCTCTGTCTGGATTAAGTTGTGGCTTTACTAAACATTTTAGAGCTTCTATACATTCCAGCACAGCCATTTCCCATGCAAACGGCAAACATAACCATATGAAAACATGGTCTAAAACTTGTAAGCAAGTTTTAGGAGGCCCATGGATTATAAGAACTTTAAGTTTTGAGTAACTTGGGATGGAAAAGAAGGCTTTAGGAGAAAAGAAAATATGGGTTAGGATAATCCTTTTTGGAGTATAGTCTTTCAACAGCTTTGAAGAACAATTGGACACTTAAAGCTGAAGACATTCACAGTTGCAATAGCTATAATAACTTACAAATGCTGTGTCATGCTATAAAAATAATGCAGCTTCTATAACTCCTGTATTCAGAATAGAATTTGATTACTGTTTGAATACAATACTGATTTCAACAATGCAATAGAAGAACACACTCGATTAAACAAGTGGCTCCCAAACTTTTTTCTCACACCCTTAGCATACAGTAACATGGTACAAAAACATGCTTTAAACATGGAATCGGATTGCTATATTTATATTCTCATAAAATACTTTTATAAAACGCCCCGGAGAATCTTTGCACAGGTCGCATGCAGAGTAGTGACAAATATGGAAGATCACAATGGATATGTTGTGTGGTGTGGAAATGTGTGCACAAATGTGGGATCATGGCATCCTCTATCTCACTCGTTATTCACAACTTGATGATATTGAAAGGGTAAGAAACATATGTACCAGTGCCACTCGGAGGTCTTTAAATGCCCTTCACATTCCTCTGTCCCAATAAAAATGTAAGTTGTTTGTGTTGACTCCACTTTTGTTTTCTGTGGTTGCAGCTGGTCTCTGGGAGAGTGGGGTGAGTGCAGCAGGAGCTGTGGAGGTGGGGATCAAAGTCGACAAGTTCAATGTGTCCAGAAAATCAGCTCCTCCAACATGAAGCCAGTGGCAGACTTCCACTGTCCTCCAGGCGCTCCAAGCAGAAGGCAGATCTGTAGCACACACAGCTGTCCTCCTGCATGGTCCCCCGGGCCCTGGACTCAGGTGTGCTGTACCCGCTATTATAGAGATAGAAAATAATATAAAGTTAGAGATCTAAAGAATTTTTTTTTTGCTTTGTGTTAGAGATGTCTTTTCTTTTAAATGAAAATGTATAGATGCATTCCTCAATCATCAACAGCCCTGAAGTTATTTCTGTGGAGAGGAGTCTTCTTGCGGTAAAAAAATCCGTTTTTCAGGGATGTACACAAATTAAACCAAACTGAATAACGTTTTAAATAAAGCATCAACATATCGATCGAAAAAAGCAGCTGGTGAACCACAAATAGTGGATCACAGTCAGGACAGTTGAGGAATGCACCTTTAACAACAAATAAATGGCTTCATCAATTCACCAAGTGTTTGTGTAAACTGCCTTTAATGTGTGAAAAAAGCTTGGTAAACTTTTGAGCCCCACTCTTGTTTTGAGTAATGTTATATAAATGTTATTATTATTATTTTTATCTTTATTTGATGTTTTCACATATTTTACCTTCTCGTTTTGTGATCAAAATATATATATTTTTTCTAGTGTTCTCGTAAATGTGGCAACGGCTTGAAGAAGAGGACAGTACTCTGCGTCAGCACTAACCCAGGCCCCCAGCCCCGCACGGTGCCTGACAGCCTGTGTGTTGCACGTCCCAAACCCACCTCCCAGGAAACATGCTTCCTCAAACGCTGCCCGAAACAGCGCAAGGTCCAGTGGTTTGTTTCCACATGGCAACAGGTAACTCGAAAGCACCAAAACTCAACAATTAACTTCAACAACCTGCTTTTTTTACGAAAGGTTTTGTTCATTTGACAGTGCTCCGCTACATGTGGCCGAGGTGTTCAGGCTCGATTCATCAAGTGTGCAGAGAAGGTGGGCGTTGGTTGATTTGAGTGTGAATATTTTGAACATGATTATTGAACTAACAATTGTTGTTCAGGATACTGCTGGGAAATACAGAGAACTTGCGGCCAAGAAATGCCAGCATGTTCCAAAGCCGTCGGTGGAGCTACAGAGAGCTTGCACGGTGGCTGAATGTCCAGTTCGCACGACTCCAGCGCTTTACCGATGGAAAAGTCCCCGTCCTGAAGCAGCCCCTCCTCTGCCAGTCCCTGCTCCTGCACACAGGCCGCAGTGGCATCCCTCCGCCTGGTCTCAAGTGAGTTCAAGCTCATCGGACTTACACTTCTCATTTGCTTGGAGTCACACGCTTCTCTTTTATGTTCTTGCACAGTGCACAGTGACATGTGGAGGAGGAGTGCAGCTCAGGTCAGTCCAATGCCTTGCTCAAGGAAATCCCACCACCGGTTGTACTGTTCCTTCAAAACCATCGACATCTCAAGCCTGCAACACCAACTTTTGTCCACAACCAGAGAAAAAAGGTATACATATTTTTGAGAAAGTACCACAGTATCACATTGAATACTCCTCTGGGACCAAATTTGTTTGACCAAAGAGCCAATCAGAGGCTGTGCTGGTCCAGGAGAGGTGTTTGAATATTTGTATAGTTAATTGTCCATTCTTTTCCCCACAGACACAGGCTGCAGGGATTACTTTACTTGGTGTTACCTTGTGCCTCAACATGGAGTCTGCAACCACAAATTCTACGGCAAGCAGTGCTGCCAGTCATGCTCCAATTCAAACCTGTGAACTTTTCACTGTCAGAATGTGATACTGACATGAAAATGAATATTAATCTTAAGTGTGAGGCCAGCACTGATCCAAAAAACAGTGGAAATGTCCTTCCCTTCGATGCCGGCATCTGGAGACATTGTGTTCTGTGAGACAGCAAAACACGACAGCAATGAGCAGAATGAAGAGAAGACCACTCACGTCTTGACTCTAATAGAACTGACGACATGTCTTTTGTTGGCTTGTGTATTAGGGATGTACCTGGGACTATTACAGTCATCAAAAAACCAATGATCTCATTGAATTGCACATATCATCAGAAGGGAAACAAATGGAAATTCCATGTATGGACAGCATGAAATGCACTGATATGTCATGGAATCAAGGAGTGCATGTAAAAATGTGACATGTTGAAAAGACTGCTATTCAAACTTTATGGTGCTTGTGTTACATGTGTGAATGTGATGTCAATGTGAATTCAACATTTCAGGAAGAACTGCAACATATGTACAGTATTTTTTTATTTATTGGCTTTTAAAATTTACAACTGTTTTGATAGGCAGTGTAATGTCTTACTCCAAATGTTTTGTATTTGATTGTATTATGTGTTCCGATGTATTGGTTGACATGAAAACCAACAAAAGCATTTTGTAACTAATTACCTGCTGCATTTTAGAAGAGATTAAGCATTATTTCAAGCAAAAGGTAGAATTGAGTTATTAAATTCTATTGTGACCTAATCATGGAAACTGAATGTGTCCAATGGTCAATTTTACTGGCCCGATATCTCTGCGTAGGAATAATAAAGTCTTCAATTGAAATTAAGGCGGATTTTTTTTCATGGGAAATTGGTGTATATATACATATATTCTTAACATTGCATCATGTGAAGTCATATTGAACCTTAAAAGAAGCTGATGAATATTTGAGTAACCTTTTAAATTGCTTTACTTCCCACCGTAGCCCAGAAGTGGCAAGGGACAAAAGCTCAGTTTTGATGCATGTTTAATTCAAATGAAATGGACATTTGCAGCATGACTTATTTTTCTAGTTTTCTGGGGACTTTATACCAAATGTTTGAACTTCTGCTTGAGTACTGTAATATTATCTACAATGTTAATATTATTTCATATTGTACTTGACAATGGCAAGCCATATTCAACAAGCCTATGGGACACACCGATGCCCAATACAATCACCATAGCCATCTGGTACTCCTTTATTAAACTTGGAGAAATAATTTATAAATATGTATTATATACTGATATAAGTATACAGTAGATGAAGACTCGGGGGCTGTGGTTTGGCATGTCTGCATCAGTGCTTTGGGTACTGTCATTGGAAAATGCTGTGAGAAAGTAACTACTTTTTTCTTGATGTCAGCTATACCTCTTGTATTTGACTTATAGGTGTAAGCTGAGGGCCTAGTGAACTTGTAGATGCACTGACATTGTAGGCCAATTTATAACATGGGTTTGTTTTAGCTGATGCAAAAAAAAATCCTTCATTGTGTAAAAAAGTAATATTTCTGGCCACATCAAAAGGCTGGAAATGGGGAATTCAACAAAGTAATACTGTAATGGCCCCTTACCTGAACTGTACAGAATGCTATCTTGAACCAAATCTTTCAAAGCATGGTTCTTCTCTCTGATGTTATCTCCTCATGAGACAAGTAGACCTACATGTCGTGGCCTCGGAAAAGAATATGTCAAATCAAGTCTACAAAAAACTTAGTTTTTTAAACAAAATAAAGAAAAAAAACTATCCTTCAGACATTTAACAAAAAACACAGGAAATACAGATAGCTTGACACAGATAACATGTCCTTGTTGTTGTCCATGCAACACAATATACAATACATGTATGTTCAATTGAGAAGTGTGTAGAGTCATGGAAGATAAATAATAATTGTAGATCCGACTAGTGCATTGAAGTGTTTTTTTATCTTTATTTGATGTTTTCATATATTTTATCTTCTCGTTTTGTGATCAAAAATATATTTTTTCTAGTGTTCTCGTAAATGTGGCAATGGCTTGAAGAAGAGGACAGTCCAAGGCTAGTCTTGCTTTGTGCTCTCCGGGGGACAAAGATTGTACAATAGCGCCGTCTGTTGCCGGGTTTGTGAATGTGTTCTGTTTTTAAAAATGTATTTTTTTCCAAAAAAGAATCTTTTACATCTTCTCACTTATTCTATTTTAAGTAACAAGAACTTCACGAACAAAAAAGATGTTCCCTGACCGGGAATCGAACCCGGGCCGCGGCGGTGAGAGCGCCGAATCCTAACCACTAGACCATCAGGGAATCTGCCGTAATCCAAAAATGTAGCAATTATTAAATATATTAATATATACATATACAATATATACATTATACAATATATACGAATGAATTACTGACTTCTTTCCAGTTTGAGGCAGTATGTGCATGTTTTCAGTCAACATTCTGATATGAATCTCTATGGCAACGGTCGTCATTTGTTTCCCAATTTGAAACCAACTGATATATTCATACCTTTGTGTATATATCATGGATCTATAGTATGTGCTATCAAACTTTATAGAATGTAAACTTCTCTTTGGTCAGATCAGATCAATAGACGCATTAATCCCACAACAAGGTATACGCCTTCGTCGACTGAGGGTTTCCAGTAAGTGCCGGAAAAGGAGAAGAAACACAACAATCGCTAAACATACTTTACTGGAGGGTAATTTCAAACAAAGAAATCATAGAAGGCTGCAATAAAGGTTGATTAATGTATCTTAAATTTTACACTATCTCGATAAAAAATTAAACTAACGAGTTTGCAGGCATCTCCGAAGTGGCTTTTCTGGGGTCCTTTATTGGGTCCTCGGTAAACGTGGGATTCGCGAAGAAAAATGTGATGTTTTGATTTGGGCGGCTGGAATTGATGTCTCATATTGTTTGTTTTAGACCTATCTAGTGGATTGTTTTATTGTGGATTTAATTACCATGATGCCTGGGGACAACCAGTCCAAAATGGTGGCGATCGCTGCCGATGCAACGGTTGGAAACTGTCAGAATTGTTCTATCTTACACCAGGTTTGAACCAACACATCTATTGCAATGTAATTTCCCGAACTGTGGGACTAGTAAAGGCTTCACTCATTCATTCAATAATCGTCTTCCCAAACGATAAATTATCCCAGAAAACTTGCCACCACGAATCCTCACGCAACAGTAGATTAAGTGTAGTATTCCTGTGAGTTTTTGTTGACATCAAGTCATCGCTGTAAAATTAAAAGAGACTTTTCTTTTTCCTATAGAGCCTTGACGAGTATGTACAGTCTTTTCTGGCACTGAAACAAAAGATCACCATGACGGAGTAAGTTTGATTGTGGTTGTGTAGATCTACCGTACATGACTTTACTCCACTTCCTTAGATGTTATTCCAAAAGCCTACATTTTTCAAACATTTCAGAAGGTGGCGCTGTAACTCAATTCATGCTGTGTTTTTGTGTATCCACCAGCGACAATGTTCGACTGCAACAACAAATCAAGGATCTACAAATTAGACTAGCAGCTCTAGAAAAAAAGACCGCAGATTATGATTCTCTTCAAACTGAATTACAAGAGAAAAAGGTATTAATGGATTCAGAAAATTAATACAAATTCATATACTACAATGTCAGGCTAATTCACCAACTCTTGTTGTACTTTCAGGATGCTTTGTCAGTCTACATACACATTTCTGAAGAAATGGAAACAGTTGTACACAAAAATGCAGAGATAAACTCAGAGTAAGAAACTTTTTAAATTGTTTTCTCTTTGACCATTACTTCACGCTATCCAGTCTTAAACTGTTTTGTTTACTTTTCATAGGAATGAGAAGCTCAAAGATGAAATAAAGAATGTGAAAGGTGAGATTAGGTTTTAATTCCTCTCTTCCTTTATAATGACTTGACTACTGCTTCATTATCAATATTTCAATATTGATGCACAATGGTTTGTTTGGGGAATTTTCAGAATGTGTTGATGCAAGGACTCTTGAAAATGCTCAACTGAGACGGGAAAAGGCTGAAGTGGAAAATCGTTTTCTCGATACTCAGGTAAATGACCCGTTTGAATTGTTATAATCGTATGAAGTGATTGTACGAGTGTAAGTGTGTTTTGTTTAGGCATCATTGAAGAAAGTCCAAGCCCAAGCAGATAAAGTTGAACAACTAGTAAAAGACAACATAAATATTGTGAACATGTAAGTAGTCGAATAGAATGTTCATCCTGTTTCTTTGTTCTATACACCTATTGTGGGTTAGTCACAATCAACTAAGTATTTTTCATAATTTGCAGTAAAGAAAACCTTGATATTAAGGTGAACCAACTTGAAGGTTGGTTTTTATTTTTTCCATTTTCTAGCTAAATGAATACATTTAATTTCATGATTTGTCGACATTTGAAATTTGTGTTATGTTGCCCTATTTTTTTCAGAATCAGTTTCCAAACAAAATGGTTTTATAAGCAAATTATCACAAGAGAAAAGTCTGCTGGAACAAAACATTAATGATCTTCAGGTACAGTACCTGTCTGTTATTTCCGTTCCTTTTTGGGGGGGGGGTTAAATAGTTGTACTACTATTGTGTTTTAAAAAATGCGTCTGTTTCTAGATGAGACTAATGAAGCTTGAAAGGGAAAGGTCTAAAGGTAAGATAATAATCAATTAACAGCATATATGTATGAAGCACATCCTATACTACCTACAATGTAAACATACTTTATCTGCAGAATACAAGAATACCTACACTCAAGCAAGTGTGCCAGAGGAGCCTAAAGTTGACAAAGGCATGTAACTCACTGATTATTTACGGATTTTGTATATTTATTATTTTATCTTTCAACATAATCTAAAAATTGGCACAAACTTTGTGTACAGATAAATTCCGTCTTCTTCTAAACAATTTATGGGCATGTGTGGAGCCAGGTCAAAGCCTGGGCAGCACAACAGGTAATCCTCTTATTATTATATTGTATAAACATAAAACTTTTATGATTAAAACAACTCTATTTTCCAGGGTCTCCACACAGACGTCTGCCATCTTCTCCTCAACAAAACGAACCATTCAGTCAGTCAAGCCATCCCTCAAAGTCTCCAAAAATGCAAGTCAGCAGGTCTCCCTACAAAGCCAAGGGGACAAAGTCAAAAATGTATTCTCACTTGGACAGAGAAAGTAATGACCAAGAATGTCAGCCCTGCACAAATACCAAGCCACAGATATCAAAAACCAGTCGGACGTCACCAAGAAAAGAAAACACTGAGGAGTTGTCTCTGAACGGTGAAATATCATTAGAAGAAATCATGGACCTATTTAAGCCATTATTCCCTTGCTTATCTCCAATTGCAGACACGGTAAGAAAACACTTCAGTTATTCCAGTTTCAGGGTCTATAAATCATGAAAATATATATTTGAATTGTACTTGCTCAAACCTGGCGCGACCCTTTCATGTAGTTTCAAAGAAAATAATTGGTCATATTTTGTTGGTAATTGGTTTATTCTTGCCCACTAGGATTCATCAATGGATTCAGTGATGGATGAGGGGGAATCAAAGGGCTCTAAATCACCTCCACGACTTGAACAAGAGCATCCTTTAGAGTTAATCCGCGAATTGCCAACAGTTAACAAAAGTCCTATTCCATTCAAATCTTTTGAAACGGTGGAAATGCTTGGAGTTGGAACAAAAGAAACTGATAACTCAAAAGGTATCGAAGAAAAGGAGTTACTACAGAGTGAAGCCACTGTAAATCCAAATCCACAATCTTTTAGTCTTGACATTGACAACAGAATTGCAGATAAGGAAGTTCTACTAGAAAACAGTGACTCAATATTATCCAAACAAGGTAAATTGGAGATAATTCTGGATACTGCAGATTTGCCATCTTTTGATAATGAAGAGACAACTTTGGTAATACCTAAAGAAAGCTCAGATGGGCCACCATGCAATTCCACTAAACAAGATTTGATTCCAGAAACTGTTATTGTTGACAGTTCTGACAGCTCAAAAATGGAAGTGGACATTCAAGATAACTCCACCTGTTTGATAATTGAGGATCACCGCCCAGTTTCTGATGAGGCTTCACTGCTCCAAGATAATCTTGTGGTGCATGACCAAAATCTTCTTTTAAATGGCAGTGAAATGGACGATGCCAATATAGAGGAAGGGACAAAAGAAGATCATCAAAAGTCAACAAAACCAGAACCTGAGAATATTGTCACCTCGATGCTCTGCATGTCAAATGGAAACCTCAAATCAGAGATCAATGAAGAAGCTGGTGATCAAAGTTCAGAATCTTTAAAAATCTCTCATGGTGTTTGCCAGAAGCTTGCACAACCATGTTTTTCACCTGCCCCAAAACTGCGGACTGTAAATAATAAACAGAAAAATGTGAAAATTGTTCACAATCAAGTACAACCAAATTCTATTTCAGGTGGCACTGAGGAAAATGCTTCTGTCCAAAATGAACAACATGAACTCATAACCACAGGATTAAAAATGCAAGTTACTGAGGTTATCTGTAAAGAAGTTCCCCCGGATGTAGCCCTTAGGTCTTCAGCACCTCATCCATTTATTGGCCAAGTCCGTACAGAAATGGGCCCTCCACTGCCTCCTGTACTGACTCCAGTCAACACACCTCCAAAGGCAAGTAAACGTCCTCTAAGAAAAACCTCCGTGAAACTGTCTTTCCCATCGCCCAGAAGCACTTCTAACTCAAACACTCCAGTTGAAGCTTGCATTACTCCTGAAGGCCAAACGTATGTTAACAGTCCACTTCGCCAAAACGACCCCTCATCCCCTCTCCAGTTTTGTTCTGCTACGCCAAAACATGCAGTTCCTGTTCCAGGACGCCTGCCATCAGCTGCTGCAAGCTCCTCCCCGTCCGTCTCCTCGAGCCCTTCACAGGATAACTCCATGAGAATCCTTGATACAATGTACCCAGAGATGTCTGCACGGGCAAGAACGTTAAGTATACTGAAAGGCAATGTCAATCTTAATCTATGTTCCCCAGACGGTGTCAAATTGCCAATGCCAGCAGAAAACTCAAGCTTTAAAAGCATCAACTCTTCATCAACAGCCTTCACCAAAACTGAGACCAGAGGAGCCAAAAGGGCTTTGAATTTACCGCAATCTAAAAACAAAGTTTTGCGATTGGATAGCCCTGTCACATCTCTTGGTTCTATTGAGCTACCTTCACCCCCAAACGATGACACGGTTACCATTTTACAACATGATGCACCTCAGACCACCTCCGAAGGAACCTCTACACCTCTCGAGCTCGAGGCTTTAAAAGAGAAAATTAAAGATCAATGTTTTGATCTCCTACCTGTACTTCAGAGCCACTTGTTTGTGGGAAATCTGCCTGTAAAACCTGTTCTAAGGGATCAAGAAAAAGAAGTAATATCTGTGTTATGCACAAATAATACGGTAAATATTGTTATACACTTTAAAAATGACTATGCACAATCTTTTTAATACTTATTCTCTTGTATGTACCAGTCCTCAGCCCATTTAATGATTTCAAGCATTGAGAATGAAGTACAAAAGATGCTAAGAAATCCGCAGCCGAACACAAATCACCTCCAAGCCTTGTGTAGGGTCTACACTGGAATTTGTCGTCAGAGGAAAGACTTCGAAAGGGCTCAAATCTTTGCTTACAATATTCTCTTTGCAGGTTTGTGTTGTAAACATTGTTGATGTAGCATACGTCTTCTATTGTCTGAGCTTAATGCCTTACATTTTGCCTTGACAGACTCCCCAGATGCAGCCAAAATGATTTTATTTATGTTTACCACATGGCCCAAGGTTTTCTCATACAATAGTTTGCTGTGTCAAGCAATACATGCAGTCACCAAATTGAAGACGCCCGCTGAGCTCCTGAGCTGCGTGTCTCAGTATCTTGGCTGGGATAAGGTAAGGCTTTGTGTAAACTGATGAAACAAATGAACATAATCTACATATGTTTCTGTTCTGTTGCAGAAACCTCCCTGTGACATTGACACAGTAATTTTCAAAACTCTGTCTGAGATACGTTCTGGATCAACGCTGTCGTTTGTTAAACATGATAGATATGGAATTGACTTGGCACCGGAGGCTTGGCAACACATTTTTACAGTTCAGCTCTTATGTACAAACAAAGACTGGAAATGGACTTATGGAAATCTTTTGAGGTTTGTCGTATAATTAACCATACTTTGCTGAAAAGTAAACAACTGGACACTAAAAATTAAAATTCTCTTTTTGCTTTGTATGAAAGTAAGGAGTTGTGGCCCTTGATGAACTCATGGGTGTCACAGTCGAGAGACCAGCAGATACCGGTTTCCGATATTACAGTTTCCACTGTTCTGAGACTTATTGGTATGACTTTTGTTGTTAATTTCAATTTATGAATGAAATGAATTGAAATTAATATTTTTATGTCGACCCTGTTATTTATATTTGATCAGGACGGCTTGGTCAGCTTGGGATCAAACAGAAATGTGTTTCCTCTGTGATGACTGTAGCCAATGTCATCAACACATTTGGAAGGGATGGAAAGTCTGAAGGTAGACCAGATCAACTTTGACACTAAGTCCACACTGTATATGTGGTATGCTGTAACGTAACTCATTTTATTTTTCAGGTGTTCCCTGGGAGGTCCAGTTAGCTGCGATCTACTGCATATATGACTTGTCCCCCTGTAATCCTAAAAGTGCCCTTGAAGCCCTCGCTGGGTGGAGAGAAGAAACCTCTCAGAGAGTTCCCCCTGGCATCACCAGCTGCATTAACCAAATGGCCTCATTGTGTCGACTGGTCAAATCTTAACATCTGCAGGACCAGACTTTTGACTAAACATGGAGCCAGCAAACAACTTTTGCAATATTTTTAGATGTTATGCATCTATTTTTAGATCGCAATGTATGTTGATGTGTTCATACTTGAATATGTGTTTAAACTGTATATAAGTATGTGTAATTATGTATAGTCAGTTTATGTATCCAGAGAAATTTAAGAGTTTATTCAAGCCTCACTTTAAAACTTATGCGCCAAAAATAAAAGCGTATTTTTCATTTTGGATGTTTTTATACATGTCTATTATGAGAGGACTTAGAGGAACACCTTTACCAGCTTTTTACATTCAAATAAGTTATCCAAGTACATTGACAAATATATTGCTATTTCCATACAAAACGGCAGGTGATCTCCAGAGAGTTAGGTAGTTAAGAGACACAATGTCACACAATGTATGGAGAGTTTAATATGTCATGGAGGCTACATAAATCCATAGCGACGAACGATCTTATATCAATACATTCAAAAAAAAATCACTTGGATCATAAGCTTCATTTCCGCATTTGATTTTTCAAAACAAAACTGGAAAGCGAGAAGATTCAATGTTACTTTGTTAACTACAAAGCATTGGTCATTTGCGTCGAGCCCACCATCGCATTTCTGATCTCTGCCAGTGTATTACATCCATAATCTCTGCCCGAAAAGAGCCGTGTTTTGGTTGAACGGGCACTTTTGCCGCTGTCTCCTCTTGACCAATGTGGGCTTGCAGAGGGGTGTGTGCTCAGATTTAAATCCCTCGCACATGCGCAGACGACGATCCGTGCTTTTGGGTGCGCCATATTGGCTGTCTTTACATGGGGAGTGGAGTTGGACAAGCCGCTTGAAAAATCTGAAGCATCCCCCCCTCCCCAAGATATGGACCAAGCAAAGGATAACAAGTAACTCCGCCAGCTGCGTGTATCTCGCTACAACGTGTACAACAACCCACTTGCGTTGAAAAGCGGCTGTCTTGCGTGGAGTCCAATGGATCCCAGGACGTCTTGGATACTCCAGGAGCACAAGCGCCCTGCCGCTGCCAATCCCCTGTGGATGCACATTTGGGAAAACTCTCAGGGATACGCGAACGACAACCACCTGCATCACCAGTGCAACTATGCGACGCAAAACGCTTACAACTCCCCGGACTTCAGCGGCGAGTACTGCACAAGTGAAGCCACCAGGACAGATCTCGTCTTCAGCGATGTGTCGAAGCGAGACAGCAGCGCGGAGCGGGGAAGCGTCCGGAGGAAAGGCTCTCTCTCGCCGTCCTCATCCTCCCTGGACTCGGAGGCAGAGAGTTCATCGCCATCCAGCTCCACGTTGCACATAGACAATTTAATCCCCGCGGAAGATTCGACTCGATTTGTGCGTTATGACGAGCATGAGTTGAACGAGATGAACGTCAGGCGTCCCTCCTGTCGCAGCATGCAACATTCTGCCACCGGCCACACCCCCACGGGACCGAAGCACCCTCAGCCCGGGACCAAGCATCACCACCAGCCCCTGCACCACTGCACCGGCCGGAGAAAGCACTTGAACCGGGCCAACACGTTCCACGGCATCCAACCGCTCCTGGCGTACGGATGCAATGGACACTACGTGGGTTCGCCCAGTAGTAGTCTGTGGAAGACGCGCCGCTACAGTCCAGGCGTCAATGGGTAAGTGCTTACACAGTCTATGGTAAGGGCTACACTACACACGTGAAGCAGGCGTCAAAGGAGCGGGTGCAGAGCAATCCCGCACAGGTGTAAGGTCAGACTAGAGTTTGGACAAATGCTTTGATTTATGCTGGATTGGTTGAGTTGTGTTCTGGGGGCACATAAGCCTTTCTAGAGAATTTTAAACTGGTCTACACTTTTTAATTTATGAACAAGGATCATTTTTAACTTGTTTATTATTATCATTATTATTTATAATGTCAGTGATATGAAGCTGTGCCCATGGTAAGGCAAGTTTATTTGTATAGCACAAGGCAACTCAAAGTGCTGCACAAAATAAAGCATTAAAATCATAAATAATCACAGTACATTAAAAAAGATAAAAATATAAAATCCATCAGTTGTATGTTTTTTTAAACTGGTTTTAAACATTGTCAGAGAGGAGGCCTGTCTCACATCAAAGTCTAGAGACAAATCTCTGGCCTCATCACTAACCATGTTCACCTTTTTTGCACATTTGCTTAAGAACTACCTTTATTATTCTGGGGAGATGTTTCTGCATTTATAGATTCATGCCCAGATGTAGCAGCAGCTGCTAAACTTCTTGCTTTGTCCAAACATTGTACTGATGAGTTTGTTTACAGGCTCCATGAAGAAATCGTGGACTTTTTCAACTTTATGTCACCAAGACCTGAAGAGGAGGCCATGAGAAGAGATGTTGTCAACAGGATAGAGGGTGTCATCAAAGATTTGTGGCCTTCTTCCAAAGTAAGACACTTCTGTCACTCGCTTGCACTTACTTCTACCTTTTACATAGCCTCCTCTAGATCTGGTGGGACATAGTGCAGAAGTTTTAGTTCATGCCTTAGGTCTCAGGCTTTACTCCAGGGCCTTTCTGAGAGGAAATTGCATCTTCTCCCTATGCCTTCTCAGTTCTCCTTGAGGGTGATCTGGTCCCCTCTACAACAGGCAACGTCCCTAATAAGGATTGTCTGAAATCTGTGTCACTCTCCTGGTTAAATAAAGGTCACTGAATGGAGTTCCTTTTCAAAGCAACACTTGTGCATTGCAAAAGTAAGTGCTGCAAAGTCTTAAGGGGCGTTCACACCGGACTTAACTTCGGCGTCAAAAGCGTCAGGTTTCCATTGAAAGTGAATGGTGAAGCGCGTCAGGTGAAGCCGAGAGCCCCGGCGTCACTTGACGCGCGTCAAAAGCTTCAAGAGTCGCGCGTACTACGCGCTCACTTGAAGCTTTTGACGCGCGAAACGCTCGCGTATCAAAACAATCCCTCTGACGCCGAAGCTGAGCAAAGCTGAGCTTTTGAAGCTTTGACGCGGGCTTCAACCAATCAGGAGACGAGGAGCAGCAGCAGCAGAGGGTCTGTCTCTGTCATGAAGAGAAGTCATGCTGCTGCTGGTGTTTTATTGTCATTATTGTTATTAGTAATATTATTTGTATGAGTAGTAACATTCTGAGTAACAAAATCATTGTACACATGCTGTGTAGTAAACGTAGTTTATTTAAAATAAGAACAGGCTGACGATGAGTCTGGCTCAGAGCAAGGCAGCTCCAGGCGGGCGAGAGCCGGGGAGAGGCAGGGAGAGGCGGGCGAGAGCCGGGGAGAGGCAGGGGAGAGGCGAGAGAGAGGCAGGGGGAGGCAGGGAGAGGCGAGTGAGAGCCGGGGAGAGGCAGGGAGAGGCGAACGAGAGCCGGGGAGAGCCGGGGAGAGGCGAGCTCCGGGATTTGAGAACTCAGACTGGGCAAGTGACATGCGGAAGTGCCGCTGAAAGCGAAACTCCTCCGTACGCAGCTCCTGGAGTAAATGACGGAACTCTGCAAACACTGCAGCCTCTCAAGTCTGTGGTGAACCCAGAACATGTTTTGTTGAAGCCCTACAACAACGTTATTTTGCTTTATATAACAAATAAAGGCTCGCTGCTCATTGAAAAATCCACCGCTGTCCTGACTACAGGCAACAGAGAAGCTCCTCCCACCGGCGTCAGGCGCGTCACTCGCGTCAAAAGCTTCAAGCACCAAAATGACAAAACTATCCCGGCGTCAGTTGAAGCGCGTCAAAAGCTTTTTGAAGCTTTTGGTCTGAACGCGCCTTTAGAGCCGTTCGTTCCAGTGTTCCCAGATTAGGCTGTACACATATTTGACATTTGCGGTGAATTCTTGCTTCTGAGTGAGGATGTGTGCTAAAAGGTCCCTGGACAATGGCCGCATTCATATTCTCCCTTGTCCTTTTTGTAATATATTTTTTTTCAGCATTTTTATGTGCTTCCTCTGCAGGTGGAGATATTTGGCAGCTTTAGTACTGGACTCTATCTTCCTACAAGGTAATCACTTTTTCCTTTTTTAGATTTACCTGGTATGAGATTTGCTTCTCAATTCAATTACTTTACGAGAAAAAAAATATTTTCTCAATTCTCCAGTGACATTGACCTTGTGGTCTTTGGAAAATGGGAACACCCTCCACTGCAGGAACTGGAACACGCTCTCAAACAGCACAATGTGGCTGGCCCTTACTCGATCAAGGTCCTGGACAAGGCTTCTGTAAGTGAATCCCCACTGCATTCCAGCTAATTTTATTTTTATTTATTTGTCCACATTATAATCCGTATACATATATTTTACATTTGTGTAACATGAACATGAGGTTTAGATAGATAGATGGCTACTTTATTTGTCCTCGTCGGAGAAATTCAGGTGTCCAGTAGCAGCAAAAATAAAATTGATCATTCTAAAAAGCTAACAATAGTAGTAATCAGCTGCAGCCCTTCAGGTCACAGCAGCAGAGATGGAGTAGCCTCTGGGTGGAGCAGGACGGGTCACAGCAGCAGAGGTGGAGTAGCCGCCTGGTTCGGACCATTTTCTCTGCTAGAGTCCAAAGTAAAATGCTAAATTCTTCATTAGCATTTTCCAAAAAGCTAGCATTCCTCCAGCGGATTTTCGCCTGATCCGTTTGGTTCGGACCATGAATCCTCTCTGCGCTTGACCAATGTAAAACCATGAACACTGTACTGCAGCAACATCTCGGGTAGAAAAAAGCAAGAAAAATAACAAGGTCTATAGGTCTGAAATAATCATAACTTAACATAATAACTGGTTCTGACATCAATATGGGGAAAGTATCAAACAAAACCGACTCTAGACAAGGGATGTCATACTCATTTTGGTCCGGGGGCCAAATACAACCTAATGGGATGTCAACTGGGCCGGACCAACAAAGTCCAACTTTTTGTGCACATAAACGCATTTATTTAAAACTTACTTTAAAACACTGTCCTTAATTACTCGCTCAGTTTTAACGATACATTTAAGTTTGTAACAGATTTAACAGTGAGTTTTTTTATAGTGCAAATGATGTAATGTAGTTACAATATTACATTGATAATGGTATTCCACAATATTTATATTAATATTTGTATGTTAGCTTTGTTTTAAGGCTCATTACAGAGAAAACTTGCTCACAAAGATAAAGTAGGTAGATAGAAAAAAGCACTTTAACACAGCACCTCTGCTTAACCATCTTCAGTGTGGTACAGTCCATGGTTATGTTATTGTCACAGAGAAAGCATCAAACTGACCATGTTTCAGTTGAAATGAACAAAACGACTTCCATAACAAAGATCCATTCTTAAAGTGGTTCTCACCCCCGCTCCTCTGGGCTTACGTTACTCACATTTCCTGTTCAAATCTTCCTCTAAATGGGCATAGCCTGGAGGACTAAAGGGGGCGTGAACGAGACTGGGCCGTTTACATTGCTCTGGGCGGGGGGCTGCTGACGTCAGGTCTTGCTTCAGACGTCAGGTCTTGCTGCTGCGCCAGTGTTGGTGCCAGATTCAAAATTCAAATGTAGTAATACAGGTCGCCAGCAGATGGCGCCTCAGACGGTTTTAGGCAGAAAGTTTAACTTTCATCTAATTTGCACCAAAGTGACAAAATTATGACCAGGATATGTAGACAACACTATTGGACACTCATTTATACCGTTTATCAGCAAAAAAGAGTGGATTTGAGGGTGAGTTGTCCTTTAACGACTGCAGCAGTGTCTCTGTGTAAAATAGTCAAATGTCCAAAAATCATCACCTCCACTTGCGGCTTTGTCACAACACCTGTCTTTACCGTCGGTACCAGGCTGAGAGCACAGGACCAGTCCACACTGTTCAACACACCAGCAACAACGCTCAAATCTCACCACAAATGAATATGCGACAACAGTAACATCAGTCTCTTATCAATGGCAACAAGTTGGTAAAAGCGAGTGGTTTCTCAGACCATGTCTGCAGCCTGTATGAGAGTATTAACAAACTCTGCCTCACTGTGTGGCTGCGATGCTAATGCTGTGTCTATAGCACTCAGGTAGCTTGTCTTTACAGCAGCACTAACCTCTTGCTCTGGGCACAAACTGACTGCTGTGTCTTCAGAGTCAGACATGTTTAACTTCTGTCATCTCAATTCTCTGCTGAAAGCCTCGCGTTTCGGCGCAGATTTTTTTATTATTATCATTTTACATAAATGGTAATGTCGGAATCCGGCCCGCAGGCCCCATGAATGACACCCCTGCTCTAGACTAATTGGAGAATCTTTCTAATTGCAAATATCCTTAGGCTAGGTTTACTGTAGTTGATTTTAATGTGGCTGCATTTGTGAAACCCTAGATGTATAAGTTTTTGCATTCAAATTGACATGCCGTATGATCTTTTTTTTCCTCCTCAGGTTCCAATCATCAAGCTGACGGACCATGAAACTGAGGTGAAAGTCGATATAAGCTTCAATGTTGAGACTGCTGTAAAAGCTGCCCAGTTCATCAAGAGTTATCTAAAGGTACGTCTCACAAAGGACAGAACGATTGAAGGCGCTAGATTTGTGTTTTTGACATTCGTTCTTTTTTTACCCCACCCCCAGAAATATCCTGTTCTTCCGCCTCTCATTTTTGTTCTGAAGCAGTTTCTTTTGCAAAGGGATTTAAATGAGGTGTTCACAGGAGGCATTAGCTCTTACAGCCTTATACTAATGGCCATCAGCTTTCTGCAGGTAATCATCTTTTCATCTGTTTTTATTAACGTCCGTGTCTCTTGAGTCCAGCAAAGATGGTGAATGAAAAGTGTTTGAATGTTAAAGTGATTGTCTGGAGTTTGTCAGAAAAAAGAGGTACATGTTTTGAAAAAAACGACCCAAGCTCCCTCCCCCTTCCTTTCTGATTGGTCTACGCCTACAATCAACACATGTAAATGTTTAAATGTAAATCGGAGAACACATCATACATTTACATTTTTATTACACTTGCACAGAGGTTTTTAGAATTATTTGTAACGTTTTCATGACAAGTAATGTTCAAATGCACAAAAAAGCGATCGCGGTAAACCCGGAAGTAGCTATTATCATGAATTGAACATTATAGGACACATCTGCAGAGGATCTGATTATGGGTTCAGTATATAAATGATTATGGATATAGGTTCAGTATATAAATGATTATGGATAGAGGTTCAGTATATAAATGATTATGGATATAGGTTCACTATATAAATGATTATGGATATAGGTTCACTATATAAATGATTATGGATATAGGTTCACTATATAAATGATTATGGATATAGGTTCACTATATACATGATTATGGATATAGGTTCACTATAGAAATGATTATGGATATAGGTTCACTATATACATGATTATGGATATAGGTTCAGTATATAAATAGGTAACTCAGCGCGGATGTTCAGAATTCTTTTTTCAGTTTTCATGAAGTTCCAGAGCCTAATGGAGGCTTGATTCGGAGGCTCCGTGAAAACAAACAACTGAGCATCAGCGCCGATGATTGACAGCCCTTGCCACCGTGGGCGGCACGGTGGCTGAGTGGATAGCACTCTCGCTTCTCAGCAAGAAGGTCCTGGGTTCGAATCCCGGTCGGACCAGGGCTTTTCTGAGTGGAGTTTGCATGTTCTCCCCGTGTGTGCGTAGGTTTCCTCCGGGTACTCCGGTTTCCCCTACCACTAAAAATATGTACAATAGGTCTGGCATGCGCCTCCTGTTCGGCGACCCCGCTCCCATCTCTCTGTGGAGTGAGAGGACAAGTGCCCAGACATAACAATTGTAAACCGCTTTGTGACTCTGGTCTGTGAAAGGCGGTATATAAATAAATATTACTTACTACTTGGCATCACTTGATGCGGGACTTACTCGTAATATTAGAAATCATAAAATGACTTATTTTATATCAACATTTAACGCCAGGAGGTCAATTAATACAATTCTTAAAATTTGTAATTCATTTAGAGTTCCAAACTATCACTTTAATGTACATGCAAAGTTGTTTTTGACCAGGCAAAACATCAGGCTATGGACCTATTCACAGGTGATGGGCAGCGTAATGGTACAAGGTTAGGGCTGGGCGGAAAAAAAATGATTTATTCAATTAACCTTTTTTAGAAAAACAAATGTCAAAATTATGAACTCAAGGTCAGGGTTATGACAGTTTCTTCTGACCCCTACTTGTCGCGACTTGAAACGAGGCAGTCCACAACGAGTGTTTTGATGAAGGCACAACATGTTATATTTTGAAAGGTCCGCATCTGTTCAACACTAGTTAGGAATGGAAATCATAATGTATTTGTATTCTCACTAAATGATCCAGTACCTTTGGTCCAATGGTTAAAGTAATTATCCAAATGGGGTAACTTGAGATTTAACCTTCAGATTTCCCTGTCAAAGTACAAGTAAATTATGCAGAGAATGGGTAAGCGTTTGATTGGTTCAGGTTCTTATCTGAGTATGGAAAATAAAGTTAATATCAAAAGGAAAATATAGATGATTGTTCATAAGGTACTACAGTAGGTACGTTTTTGTACACTTTTGTCCAAAAGTAGGAATGGTTGGAGTTCCAGTTCCTCGTTTAAGGATTCAGTAGGTTTCACAATGTAGGGGGAGCTTGAGCCGATCTCTTCTTCTTTAAGCTTTTTAATTTTACATGTTTGATTATCATGGCTCTTAGTGAGTGGCTGTTGTGTCTAGGCATGTGATTGTGTTTCGCCATAGTCAGTCTTTCTGACTAGAGCATAAATTTCAAATTCATCTGAGCACTAAATAAAACATTGATGTTGATAAATGTGTTTCACTGTTTATAGCTGCACCCTCGAATAGACACGCGGCGTTCCAATATCAATCTGGGCATCTTGCTCATTGAGTTCTTCCAGTTGTATGGTCATGATTTCAACTACATGAAGACTGGTATAAGGGTGAAAAATGGAGGCGCCTACTTAAGCAAAGAAGAAATGCTTCAAACTATGGGCAGTGGAAATCGGCCCTCCATGCTCTGCATAGAAGACCCTGTTCAACCAGGTTAGATTATTACACATGTGTATGTCTGGAAGCATCATGTGTCTTGTTTTTGTTTTTTTTCTTGAGATTTAGAAAAGGTTTTTTGGGGTTTTTCAACAGGAAATGACGTTGGCAGAAGTTCATATGGTGTCCTGCAGGTCAAGCAAGTGTTTGACTTTGCCTACATGGTGTTGACTCATGGGCTGTCGCCATTAGCACGTGCTTATCCAAACAGAGATTACGATGGGTAGGTTAAACAAACATTCTCAAAATTTAGCTTGGTGAGAGTCCAATGCATTTGGTTTTTTTATTTTCTCTATTTTTATTTCTTTCTTTCTCTATTTTAAGGACCCTGGGACGCATCATCAAGGTCAGCCCAGAAGTGCTGGCCTATAGGGACTGGACAATCAAGAAGTGGGGAGCTAAGAATTATGCAAAACATGAGAACCTTGGTATGCCGTTTGTGTGATGTGTTCTAAAAGCACTTACTTCCTGATTATTATTTATTTATTTATTTAATTATATGAAAATATGTATTTTTTTATTTCATTTGCAGCGGATGTAGAAACGTGTGAACAAGACCTTGCAAGGCTTGTGTTGGTTTCTATGGATGAGCAGAGGGACACATGTTCCCCACTGAGCGCTGACTCGTCCTCACCCTCTCCGGTCTTCCTCCCGAGCCCACATCACTCATCCTCATCTTCTGCGTGCTCTTTGTCGTCCTCTTCAGGGAGTGACGCTGTAAGAATCTTAATATTGTGCTTATTAAGATTTCACTTTGCCATTGGAATGATCATAATGTTCTGGCTTTAGGAATCTGATTCTCCTCCAAACACAACTGCTGCGATCCACCCGCTACACCCACTCACTCTGGCCTCTGTCCACTCTGTTATCCAGATGGCCACGGACCTAAGAACTGCACTTCCACCTGGCTTTATTCCTGCTACACCTCAGGTGGGTTTTGTTTAATTTTTTTTTTATACCAAAGTCTAAATCTCCATCTAAAATGAGCCTTTTACTGATTTGATAAACATTATAAACTTGAAAGAGCCGTGTTTCATAATGTTTTTTGGCAGTGGCAAAAAACAGAAGGCACTTCTGTATCTGCTTTTTATTACTGAGAATATTGGTCTCGATCATAATTCACCAGTTGATCTTTTTTTATTTTTTGTTTTCATTTGTCTGCTTTGTCACTGCCTGAGATTCTAAACAGCTGTTAATTTACTTTTATTTAATTTTTAAAGAAGGAATAGTGCAGTCTAAACTACACCTGGCAGGTTTAATGTTTTTTTATTATTTTTTTTTATAAAGGGGCTGGTGCTCTGTGTGCCAGATTAATGAGTGAAGAATTATTGACTTAATATGCTTTTTCTTAGGTTCAGATGCCCATTCATGAAGGCTTGAACATCCCCTCAATAGAGTGCCAATTCTTCCATGATAATCCTTCCATTGGTTTGATGCACCGACATGCGTCACACGCTGCACAGATGTCTCCACACACGCTGTCGCCTATTCACCAGCTTCAGCACAGTCATCTCGAAGGCCACCACTACCCCATCAGGTCCAACTCAGTTGGGTCTATTGAGCCACATGCATTTAGCTTCAAACACAACCAAGTCAGCGGTCTCCAAGGGCAGCATCCACATCCAGGTAACTTCAGTCCAAGACACTATGATCCACAGACTCTCAACTCTGCACCAGTCTTTAGAAACCAGCAACAACAGTGCAACAGAAACACCTGGCGCCGAAGAAAGAGGGAAAACCTTCAGACATTGAACCAGAGTAGATGAGTGTAAAGCTAAAGGATTTGGTGATTCACACAGTTTTAAAGTCTCAACAAAGCCTGCCCAGAGTATATGGCCGACAGGATTAAACGTGTGTAATATATTTATATATATATATTACTTTTGCCTTAACCTTTTTGAAGGGCCCTCTGAAATTGGCCCACACATGTGAATGGGGACAAAATGACAACTGTGGTAGAGCAACCCAATGGAAGTAATTTCTTCCTTAATGAGATGCACACCAGCACTGTCTTCGGTTTATGTATGGTTTCTGTGACTAGATTAACTTTGTTCATGCCATGGTTGTCTCTGGGGAGCTTTTTAAGAGCTATTTGACCTAGTCTGTAGCATCATGTGCCATAAATGAAAAATGTTCTCTGCCTCATCTTGTCCCCGTTGATGTGTGAAATTTCAAACGGTCTAAAAGCAGGCTTGGCTCTGAATGAAGACTTTCTTGCTCCAAGTTTTCTCATCTGAAGATGGCATCCTGGAGCTGAAGTAAAGCACTAACTTAAAACTTAAAACCTATGCAGCAGAACGCTGACTTGGTGACTCTGGTGTGATGGCACAAAACGGACCTTGTCTGAAGTGCTTAAACTGTGATACCCGTTTTGAATGTAACAAGTGTTTATAATTGTATGTGACTGTTCGTTTTTTGTCTTTAAGGGAAATTTTCTGTTCACTTTCGCACTATTTGTTTCGTACAAAGTTACTTGCATTTATGTGCAATAATGACTTTAATGTTTTTATTTAATTTATTTCACTTGTTACTTTGGGGATAACCCCACTTTTTGTTTTATTTCTATACATCAAACCGTGCAATAGATGGATTAAGGGCCTCGGAGGAATGACTAGGTTTCACATTTGGACTGGGAGAAGTGCTATGATATTTTAGAATGAGTAATGTGCCACATACACTCTGGTGCCATCCTCATGTCCATTAAGCAATCTTTATATTTTATATATATATATATATATTATTTTTTCTAACATTTTAGTTGGCATTTAGATTGATGCCTTCATTCAGGTTGCACTCCTCCAGAAGTGTTTACATGCTACAGTTGGTGCTACATTTGACCAGCAAAGTGCATATTTTGCCTTTCTCTACAATAGCTTGGCTGCCTCCTTTTTTTTTTTTTTTTTTAATTCCATTCTTCATTTTGTTTGTCCTCTCCTCATCTGCCAATTTTACCCCCAGTATCTTTTCATTTTTAATGCCTGTTCCAGGTGTGAACTTCCAGAGGTTGGCCCAATTCGCATCATGTCGTCTTGACTTTCGCTTAAAGCGGACACTTTCATAGGGTCAACACATTTTGGGGACTCCCCGTATTTAAAGAAGTATTTCTAAGGCAAGGTTCCAAAGCTGCACAATTTGCACAACAATCCAAATAGAACTTGAGCTTGGACAACAGTTTTGGCAAATATGTATCGGTCTTAAACGTGACACTGACTGGCTTGCATTTTCAATGTCCTTGTTATGACTTGATAGCATAAGCATTATCCTTTCTTTCGTGCAGCTTTTAAACTTCTAAAGGATATTGCTTTTTTGCCTAGAGCCAAATTCCATGCTCATCTGTCAATAAGAATGGGTTGTAATGTGTAAATTACTTGATATAGATGTGTACCTTGTTTTTTATGTAAAAATTTCTATTTTTTTAATAAAAATTTTAAAAGTATTTTGAGTACATTTTATGACTGTCTAAATGGTGAATGTATATGTGAGCTGTGCACTTGATGCTTATTTCTAGGACTATCTATATTAAACTCCTTTTTCATAATGTTCTGATCTATTTTAGAAAAGTTATGTTTATCAAGTTGATTCCTTTGCAGCTTTTGTCTAGTTTACTCCACATCGCCAATAAATTAACATTGTTCAGCATGTTCATTCTGTTTCACTGTTTCTGAAACTTTTGAAATGTCTTTTGGTCAAAAGAAGGCAATGTTGTATTTTTGCCTTTGCCAGGTGGGGGCGCTAGTGTATAATTTTAATATAATGCCAAATGTACAGCCCTCAATTTTTACGTGAGCTTTTTTGAGCTTGCACCAGCAAAGTGTGTGAAGGTAGGATCAGCGACTGTAAGACGAGTTGTCTATCCAGTAATAATTAGTTCTGTTTTTCTTAAATCCCTGATACAAACCTGTACTGTAAACTGCAGGCTGTGGCTATGACAATATTATTGACGTGTGTACAGCGGTCGCGTCACTATAATCTTGGTTCACATAATACTGTCTTCGATTTAACAACAGTGTAGTTTTTGATCGTTCCACCATTTATAAAACTAATTCATGTAGTGCCTTGTTTTGTAGGTTTGAGTTGTGCTGCAGCCACAGATTGTCTATAAAGACTGCTCAGTCCTTCTATTCGTTCACGTATTTTTTCTTTTCATAACTAATCACCAAACTCATAGCTTACTGTAGGTCAGTGTTTTTCAATCAGTGGGCGGTGGTAGTGAGCCTTGATGTTGTTCTGTAATATTGGCTCGTTGCCAAAGACACACCAGATTGATCATGTGAAAATAAGATAATTGATATACTCTCAGTTTCAGCCACAGCTCCAAAAGGACACTGGCCCAGTTAATTGTGTATTTATTTTTATTTTTTTAAGCAATACAATTTTGTTCCCTCCACAAATTGTATTTATGCCTATGTTTAATCACTGTCTGCCCTCATCAGTGTGTGCTATATTCAATAACTGTATATGAAACTTGCACTGTTATAGAAATTTTAGAACACTCCAGTCAAAGCAATAGATTAACTATCTATTGAGAAACAGATTTTCTGGACATGGGGCAAAGATGCAGATGAAAGTGGTTTTATTGACACAGAAATGGCCCCTTCCATCACAGCGATGGGGCCACCTCCTGTGGGGACACCTTCAGGACGGCTCAGCTTGAACAGATCTTGGTCTGGATTATACAGAAATTGTCCATTCTCCACAGAAGAATTTGAGTTGTTGGAATTTTACTCCACACTTTACCTTTTCATAAATGCGTGTTTGTTCTAATCTGATGTGAAAGTAAAAACCCATAAGAATAAATCAGACCACATGTCTTCGTTATTTTTTTACATAAGAGTGAGTCACTATGGCCTGCGAGCTGATTGGCTCGGTGAGTGTGGTCCTTTTTCACTTCTCTCTCTGAAAAAGCTGGTCTAAAGATGTGAAAAAGGACAAAAATACATGTGAAAACTAGTGATTGGATCAAACTGTATCGGCAGTGAGATTCTGGATGTATGGATTTTATTAAATAGTTCCCTTTTTGGTATAATAATTTAGTATAATATCGCTACTGACTGTGACTTTGCAATTCAACAATATTGATTCAAAAACGATTTAAGTTAGTTAAATGGTGAGGATAGTGAAAGGAAGAATATCTGAGGTTCTTATTTGTCAAGGGAACAGCTCAAAGAAGTCAAATAAAAAAGGAAGATTGTGCACCGTCAGAATCAATCTTTCAAAAATACATTTCCATTTGAGAAAGTGCATTGCAGAAGTGAGTAGACCAGAAAGATATAAAGCATACTTCATGAATACAATAAGAATACATACATATCCGTGCCATCGGCTTAATCAGCACCAGGGTGTAAACTCTGATGTGTTTTGTGGCGCTTTGGCCTCATCTAAATGAAGCATCACATCAGCTATGAAAGTCATCTCAGTGTGAAATAGAAGCAGTTTGGAGATGATATTTCAGTTTGACAAGTGGGCTGAATACTGCCTGCAGTGTTAGGACATGAGGGAGTGTGACAGGTAAATTGACTGTTAGATGATTAATTTTCCATGCAAGGATTCAGATCTCGTGTCACGGGAATATTTTTTTCATAGGAATGATGTGAATGTTTTTTCAAGTGATTGATTTTTATTTGCTCAGTTTGTGTCGGTGCAATAGATTAAAGAGGGTGTAAATGTGTATCAGGCTGATGGTAAGTGTGGCTGGTAATCTCATGCTGTAAAAATTCCATTGATATTTCACTGAGTCAGAGTAAAAATCTTGTTATTGTTTAAAATCCAGTGTGTTGGCACAGCTGTGACCATTAGTAAATGAAGAGCAGAGCAGGGTCATAATTTCAAGAGAGAATCGTGATTTGGGTTGACAAATAATTTGAAATGGATGCAGTAGAAAAGTGTGTATACATTGTTGTGAGAGCGGTCAGATTTGCGTGAATAGAATGATAGCGTCTGATCTGATGCAAAGTTTTTTGTTGTTAATGCTTTTTTAGATGTGTGTTGAAACGTTTACATTCTAATTCAATAGCAAAATGAATGTCAACTGCTTGTAATATTTATGTATAAACATGAGTGTCATCCCTGTGTCCTGCTGTCCTGCATTTGACCCATCCTTTCAATCCCACAGGGGCAACCTGTCAGCAGCAGTCACTACAGTGCAGCTCCCATGAACTCATAGATGTTGATGCTCTTAGTCAGGACTACGTTCACAGGAAGATTTTACCTATGGTGCATGTTTTGAATGGTGGGGGAATCCAGAGCCGCGAAGAAACCCCCCCCCCCAGACACAATGAGACAGGTATGGGAATCAAACCGACGCAACCTTCTTCCTAAAAAAAAAAAACCGGTACAGGCAGAGTCAAAGTCACATTTTTAATTGGATTGAAGTATTATCAATTGCCCTTCACAGAGCTGACAAATGTTATCCAATTTTAACTTCATGATGTCCCTTAGGGGTGTGTCAGGATTCATGTAGTATGTCTGGTATTTAGGTATTAAGTTATTTTATTTTAACTTTTAATTGAAGTGAAATGGGTTTATTTTTCCAAGGTGCTCCATGAAGGGAACAGTGGCGAATGAGAGATGTAAGGTCAGGGATGTGCTGTAGCATCCAACAGAAGAACTACGTGATGAGAGCCTGAAGAGAGCTGTTAGAGGGAGATGTACAAGGGTAAGGAGTGGGCGATGTGGACAATAGAAGTCTAGCTTCTTCTTCACTTCATTTCTGCATCTAACTCACATAACTTGTTAGCAAGTAAGTAAAACGTTATTTATAGAACACATTTCACAGATACAAATCACAAAGGAGGAAAAAGAAGGAAATCAAACAGATCAAATACAAAGAATAAATCCTGACTTGTCAACCAAAAGCCAGTTTTAGAAATATATATTTAGCTGCCTTGATAAGCATAGCAAGCATAGCATTTGTTTTGTATAGCCCTATTTCTCAGAAGTTGTCTCTGAGCTGAAAATCAAACCATTTGAACACAATAATTTAAGAAATGTATAGGAGCCATTGGGCCATAGGGAAGCAAGATGACTGTTCATAAAAAAGTAATTATTGCTTTTTCTAAAACATCCAGAAAATGAAGACATGTGTCATGATGAGCTTTATACTTTATAATCTTTTGGGCTCTTTTCTGCTTTCCTTAATGGTAGTAACGGTAATATTTGAATCCATGGAACCGTTTAGGTATACATTAATATTGTCACATCCCTCATTGTCACAGTTATGATTATATATTAACCAACCCTAAATATTGATTCACCTATGGAGGAAACCAGCCGCAGTAGTCCATATAATACTCTGAGTCTGACGCTGCAGTCACGTTCTAAACATCTGTGGCCCTTTATTGACGACAAGGCTCTAATTGCATTCCTCATTATCACCTCCAGCACATGGGAGCCAGTCAGCTGTGCTTTAGAGCTGTCAGCAGCACTCTGTCACTCTACTGTTGGCTTCACAGCTTCACATTTAAGAACTTCCATAAATAACTTGTGATGATGATCAGACCACATTTTATTGTGTGATTAAAAAGGGTTGTAAATAGGATTTATATGTCATACATATACATTAAATATAGATATATATATATATGTATACTATACATTCAATGAAATGTTATTAGAGTGCACAGTATTCAAAATAAGTACATTTTGCAATTATAGCAGTATAGCAGATTCAGACTAATATTTCCAGTGTTCGCTACAAGCGTGTCCAGAAATGAAGACAAGGCAGTGGCGATTGCGCCTGTGACACGGTTTATTTTTGAGTCCCTCCAGCTCAAACAAGAGGAGACAAGGCTTTTAATATGATTTGTCTTGAGCAACAGAAGATGTCATCACTTGAGATATAAATGACGCATGCTTATGATCTAGATACTGTAGTTACAATCTGGTCAGAACAAATACTTTCAATTCTTCAGATAATAATGTGTAGCAGTTACAGATATACAGTAACAGGGGTCCACTGTGATTCAAAAAGTTTATTTTTGTCTTGGGTTAAAATACTGTTTCTAGTTCTTTTGAAAGACAAGTTTAGAACCATC